TTATATTTAAAAACAATTACATCGATCAACAATTATTATTTTAAATATACAAAAAGATTTTTCATAGAAAAAACTATTTTGCAGGGTCAGTTAATAATAAAATGTAGGCTAAAAATTTATTTAATATTAAAATTATTGTTTAAAAACTCCAAAAGAAAGTAATCGGTGTAATCTAGAATACGACGTTCCCATTTTACAATAAAGTTTCTGTATCATAATAGATTGAAAATAAATTAAATCTAAATGATATGATATAAGATTTCTGAAATTTAACATTTAACTTACCCTGCAATTGACATTTTGAGTAATTCTCCCATTATAAAGTATTAAAAAATACTTTGGCTGCATTGTCACTCAGATGGAATGTATTTAAATCACACTTTTTTAAATTTCTATAGATACGTTAAAAAAATTAAACAATTATTACAAAATGGTTTTTTTGTCTGTATTTTGAGTGATTTCGGAAAATTTTCCTATTGTACTACCTAAACTTATTAAAATACAGTATTTTGCCCAAAAATGAAAAGTAATTCGAAAATGTTACTTAAAAAATTGTTTTTCTACATAGACCATAGAAATAGTATAGAAAGCCGATTCCATATATCAAAAATGAAACCATAAGGAGAAAATAGTGTGTCGGAGCTCATGCGTATAACGGTGCTGGCGCGAACAGGACCGGTGCAAGTTTTTTATTGATCGAACAAATAGTTCGCACGATATTTCAATCATACATTTTTAGAGATGATTCTATACAAAAAACGATTAAAAAAATTTCAAGTTAAGGTAAATATGGTTTTGACAGTCCTTATTATGAAAGATATGGCATAAAATATGAATTAGTTAATTTTCGGCAATCATTAGTACAGTAGTCATGAGATTTTGCTTGTGATTTTAAAAATACTTTCCAGAAAAACCACGTGCTCCGGTTTTGACTACGTTTATTATTAAACAGCGAAATTATATACAAAAACTTTAATCCACAATCTAAATTAGGTACTATCACAAGAAAATCACTGTTACAATAATTAATTACTTAACCAAAAACTAAAATACTTTTTAGGTACCTACGTAACCAGAAAGGAGCTGGACCATTTATCCTAATATTGATTTTCTCTCTCCCTACGGTAAAACTTAAAACAATATCAAATTGCCTATCTACTAGGGTCGGTAACTAAACGTATATACATAATGGGCGGATTTTGTTTATACTTAACATTACACTCGCGCATTTAAATATAACTATGCATATAAATATTTACAAACAAAGATACTTTTCCAAACAGGCAATCATTAGTACTGTAGTCACGAGATTTTGCTTGTGATTTGACATCTTATTTGATAATATCATTTGCTACAACTAAATTTAATCTGGGGAGTGCAAAATAGGGCCCAGGAATATTATGTTCGATATTTTTTTACATTTTGTCAGCCGAGACTATGAGTCAGTCGTTAGACAGAAAACCTTTCATGTTACCATTTTCAATATAAATTAAAAAATTAAAAAATACTACTACATTTACTTGGTACATATTTTATTTTAATTTTGAACCTTTTTAAAATGGTCTTTCGGTTCCATAATAAAAATTAGTTGCTGCTTACTAGAAACATTCTATATAGCCTAAACCAATTTATAGTTTGTTTTCGATCAATTTAATACAAAGATTTAAAGTTTTTAGTCGATGATAACATTCCACACCAGCACATTGCAAACCTATTTTATAAATAATAGGAATAAACTTGTAAATCATTAATTTGGTAGTTATCTCACTCATATGATTTTTTTGTTTATATGACTATTTCGATTTCTAAATATATTTTGGCCTTACAATACGAAGCGTTTTGTATCTACCACTTTTTTAATGAACGATGAATGTTGGCAGGCGTGTACCTTTTTCGGAACAAGAGGCGTTTTAACGAAGGAAATGATTTTCGAACTATCTACTTAGTTTTCGGAAAAATAGAAAACGTTTCAAGAAAGTTGTCAATAACAGTTTGTCGTTCATGTGTTTCATTTTAATCAGCTTTCATACTAAACTGCGTAGAATATTTTTCCGATTCAAAATCGAGATTCTCGATATTTCCACAGTTTATTTATAATACCTTCTAAACTGGATTTATCTATCATTTCATATACTTTATAATATATGTTCATGCCCTACTTTTCACTTTATTAACAATTTTTTTTTAACATACTTCAAAATGGTAGGATATTCTCAATTCGTTGAAATATTTTTTTTTCTACACCCGTATTATAATAGTGCACTTATATGCCCAAAATCCGTTTCATAATGATACCCATTATGATACAAATTTTTCATTATGATACAGATTTTTAATCAATAGAAACCTACAATTTTTCAATCAAGCATGATGTTTGACGTTTGTCCTAAATTCCTATGTAATTGTTTTAGTTGTCAAAACGTATTAAATTTTCGTAGATAGCTAAACTTCGATAATTATAATATTAAAATGTCTGATATCAGCGATATAGAAGACTCCTCCACACATATCGGAGAAAGGAGAAAATGCAGTACAAAATATTTTGCCCCAAAAATCTGTGGTAATACCAATACCCAAGGTAATACCATTAATTACAATTTTGTAGAATTTTTTATAGAAATACGAGTAATTACTGTTATTGTGTTCAATACCAATATAAATAGAATATTTATAGGTCTTGATTATTTATCGGGTGTAGAAAAAATAGCGTATGCAACTCTCATGTAATGGTTATTAAAACACTCGCATAAACCATACGAAACTCGCCTTTGGCTCGTTTCGTATCCCGGTTAATGCTCGTGTATTAATAACCATCATTACATGATCGTTGCATAATATACTATTATGTATGTTGAGCGATAATTCTTTACCACGTTGCCCGATTTCTAGGATTATTTTTGTTAGAAAAGGAAACAGTTTTATATACATTAAGTCAAGATCTGAAGATGGGATCCATAAGAAAATCATTAACATCTTTATTTTTAAAGTAGGTTTTTTTTTAAATTTCTTTAAACCTTACTGGTTCGAACGCGGTAAGGAATGAAGAAATGTAAATAATTGTTGTGCCAGCCAAAAAGCGAAGAGGAAGTACCGATTAAAATATCGAGTGACAGAAGAGTTCCTAAGATTGTTGAGATCGGGTTTATGTTTTAAAATGCCTTAAAACCGATATCGATAATGTCTCCCCGTCGCTGGGCAGCCTGTATATAAATATACAGCTCTCTATTTACATAATTATAATTCTTTGGTAGGTTTAGATTTGCAGACATAAATTTTGTAATAAATATAACAGCTGCCTAATACATTGATTACATTTTCATTAGCCAATGTAAAAATGTCTTTTATTGTACCTAGGATTTGACTAAACACTACACAAAACTAAAAATAAAATGCCACTTTCATCGTGTAATTAATGCCGCGTTTGAGAATCCACATCGGATGCATTTTTTACATCTCGAGCGTTTTTTATCCATATCGGACACATCTGTTCCATTACATTTACGTATACTGAATCACGTGATCAAAGATTTACTACTTACTACATCTCAGATGCATCCGATGTGGATTCTCAAACGCGGCATAAATAATAAACTACAAACGGTCCTGTAAGGGCAGCGTCATATAGCCTTGAAACACCGGATTTTAGTGCTATTGCCAGGTCAATATTGAATTTGTAGGTGAATCGCTTATTGAACATTAAAAATACGGTATTAATGACATTAATACGGTATTTGTATATATTTTTGGGAATGTAATTACACATAAATATTATTAGTTGATTATTTAAATGTGTATAAGTTATTTTGTGGCGATATTTCGTAGATATAAACTGTTTAAATCATATAATTTAAAAATTAATTAATTTAAAATTCTTTTCTGTTAGGTATGTTTAATATATTTGGCAACACTACAGGGACAAGTCATGCATATTGCGCAAGCTTCTAGACACACTATTTTGCGATGTCAGGCGCAGAGACGCGTTTTTATGCACAGTAGGTTTCAATTTCTGCTTAAATGTTATGTTTATATTGGTCTTCTATATTATTTCTATGACATAGACGTAGTATAACAACTGACCCTGATAAAAGCAAGTTGCTCGGAATCAACTGTATGATACATAATAAACTACAATAATCTTTAGTAATCCTTAGTGAGCTCATAAAATAAATATATTCAATGTTAGTAAATGGGACATGTTCAGATGTGAGATATGCTGTTTTAAAAATTATCAGTTTGTTAAAAAGCCAATAGTTTTTAAAGTTAAACCATTTATAATTTAAAATCTGTATGTCATCGGGAATAGACCAATCAACTTGTGTCGAACTTTTGTTTGTTATACAGAACCAGGCCAAAGAACAAACCAACACACAGAATGTCGAAGTGAACGCACATCTTAGTGACACTTGAAAATTGACACCACCTAACTTAACATTCGTTATGTTTTCTCTATTTTAGATTTATTTCTTTTGCTATTGTTAATTGGTTTAATTTTATTATTAATATGAGTTTTATAAAAGCTGATTCAAGTGTTTTACCCATTGTAAACCAAGATATGATTACTGCATTTTTTTTTTAACAATACTCAGTTTATAAATGCAAAAGTTAAGCATGTTAAGACAGAAAGGTATGTAACACTTTATTTATAATTTGTTTTAATAGTAGGTACAGTTTATATGGGGCAATACACCTTATAATAAAAACATATTTATCTCATATCATTAGGGTTGTCGAACAGTAACAGTTTTTTAAAGATAAACATTTTACCTTTATCTCATATGTATTAAAAAAAAGTATGTTTTTTATAATATATTAGCGTACACTGATATCCACAAATATAACACTAGAAATTGAGACGATATATTTGTACTTTGAAGCAACAAGTGCCAATCTCTAATTTGGGAGACACGACAGAAAATGTTACCACCCGAAATGCTAACAACGCAGCAAAAATCGAAAAAGTGCACAAATCTGAAGTCAGACCCAACAAAAATAGAAATACAATGCCCCCAATTGTAATTGACGGCAAGATGGCAAATCAAAGGGATTTACTTAAGGATTTAAAGGACATAGTTAAAGGAGAATTTTCTATCAAACACATAAACTACACCTGCATCATGTTTGTAGAAAATAAGGAAGATCATCAACGAGTATTATCCAATAATAAATCCGAGAACATGCCATACCACACCTATACCTCTAGGAATGAAAAGTCACATGCTTTTGTCCTTAAAGGCCTCACTGAAGGCACCAAAATAGTTGATATCGAGGAGAATCTCGAAGAAGAGCACGAGATAAAGCCACGTGCGGTTTATCAAATTCGTACTAAGGAACGACCCCTATTTCTTGTGGTTACAGACCCGGTAATCACGTTAAGACTACCTTAATAAAAATACCCGCAGCGTGTTATACACCAGGGTAACGTGGGAGTTAAGGAAATCAATGAAACTCATCATTCAGTGTCACAACTGCCAACAATGAGGGCATGCAACCTCCAATTGTGGCAGACAAGCAAGTTGTTTAAAATGTGCACCACACGAGAACCTGCGTAAAAACACTATGGGGGGTGAATACCCCGCAAAATACTTGAAATGCTTGCGTAGAAAAATTAGAAAGAATGCTTGAAAGGATGCCAAAACCGTAGAAGAAATATGTACCCACCCCGCAGCCGAATTTAAACCAATGGGAGGCCAGAAGGATGAATCGAAACACAATTGACGAATTCTCAGCATTACCTTCGAGAAATCCACGTGAAACGACTGATTCTACGCAAATTCCAGCCAGAAGACCCGAAAACTTGAGACAATCTACCCCCGGCGTGGCCATAGGCGAATTCGCGGCTCTAAACAACGAGTTTAAAACCTTCAGTAGACTTATTAATATAGGTGAATTAACCAGAGCAGTCAGAGCACTGAATGCCAGACTTGTTAACTGTAAAACGGGAAAGGAAGCCATAGAGACATATAAAGCGTTCACGATGGACATTGACATCAATTTCAATCTTTTGAACTGAATTCATAACATACAATACTTCAAATACAGTAACATTCGTTTAATTCCATTGTAAAATGCTTTTGTGGATGTTTATGCGACTACGGAAGCACTTTTTCTTAGAATTTCTTTGATTTTCTTGGAAAATGGTGTGAGTAGGGGCATGAATGTCTACAAAGAACACTTATTTACGCACATACGAAAACATTTGAAAATCGACGTACATTCTCCATAACAGCGACGACCCCATAAAACAGTAACAAAAAAGTTTAGAGAATTCTCAAAAAAGTAAAGAGAATCCTCAAAAAAAAGTATGGAGAATACCCAAAAAAGTTTGGAGAATCTCCAAAAAATAAGAAGAATATCTAAAATAGTTAGAAAATCTAGAAATCACAGATAACAAATATCCCAATCTCAACCGTACTGCCACTGACAACAAATCTGAAGAATATATGCGGATGACAACGCTCATTCTCCCTCTACAGAAGAAAGGGAAAAACCCTATGAAGGGAATGATAACCCTAAACCACCCTCGGGTATTCCCACGCAGGACATTAAAATTGCCCAGACGGCCTGCAATCAAAGTTTCCAATCGGAATATGTGGCAGAACAAAACCACCCCACAAAACTGGTTTTTAAAAGGCTGAGTTTCCCGGCAGGCACGCAAGCCAGACCCCTAAATTTTGGTTTTGAGACCGACTTAACATCATCTCTAAACAAAAACACCAATACAGGGGATGGGCTGTACCTAAAATTAAAAAGTCAGATGAAAAAAGTATGGAGAAAGTTTAAAAACGAGGTGAACTAAGTAGCTTCAAATTTGACTTTGATACGAACATTATACCCCATGCTGGCACGTAACAGCAAAATAACTCAAAAGAACACAAAACAGGTGTCTGAGGCTAATCCTTGGATGTGCAAAGGACACAAGAATTACAGAACTACATGAGAGAACAAACATTCTACCTATTAAACAATATATTCTTCAACTGTCAGAGAAGTTCTACCGAAATTGTCTTCCTCCACGTCTTAATGAAGACATAAATAATTTCACAATCATAAATAGCCAAAATAGGAAGTGCATGAAATGATTACTTTGCAACACCCAAAGCCGTACTAAATCCTCAATTCAGTCGGCATCTGACTATATCGAATGGTGGGCCGCGCATAGACGGCCTGTTTTTCGGTGAGTCTGTGGGTATTGCATACAACAAACCATAGACTATACACACATCCACGCTTCAAAACTTTATTTCAGAGAAAATTAAATTCAGACATAACACCAAGACAAATAACTCAGCACACAATTGCTTAATAATACCAACCTGAGTAAGGAGTAAGCAAAGCATAAAGAATCGAAAAACTACGCAAGCTGCAATTGGGCAGAACATCAGCCAATGCGATCACCGGATTTCCTACAAAGAAGGATACTATATTTTATTTTACAGTATTGTTTTATATCATATTTTATTTTTTCTTTATACATATTGAGCCTGTGTTTGTAATGTAGATATTGTAAATAATTGAATAATTGTTAAAAAAAAAAAAAAATCGTGGCTTGCCGAAATTTTTGTGCTGATCGATGACTGAATTGTGTAGTCTTGTGATTTGACTAATTCATGCACAAAAACTACCACGTTAATAACACACATTTTAGGACAACCCTGTTTTTGCAACTGTATTTTCAGGGAGGATAGACAAAATTAAAATCACACAAAAACCCTATACTTTTCCATTACTGATCTGGTTAATAGCCTATATTAAGCCTATAATGTTGATTTTCAATAAGGAGGGGTCACTTTTCAACCATAATTATAACCCCCGCTTGAAATCATTACAGAAGAGGAATACTTCTCAAAGACATTTAAGAAGAAATATTATTAATGTTATTAGATCTAAACTTGTAAATATTGTAAATAAAGTTGATTTTGAAAATGAAAAAATGGAATAATTACACATGAACATAAAGTATTTTGCACTGTTCCTCCTACATTTGAAGTAAATAATGAGGTAGAAATAAGTTGAATTTGGTAATAAATCTTTAGACGAAATTTTAATTTGTGTTACTGCATTCTGGAAAGACGCTATTTTAAAGGTTTTATTTGCAAGTTATTGTTAGGGCTTGTATATATATATATTTTATTTGTAAATAAAGTGTTTTTACTTCATTTATCTTATTCAGGTACTTTTATTTTTTAACAATAGGTTAATAATAAAAAAATTTCACAGATTTTACATTTTTGTTCATATACAATCTCTGAAATGTGATAAATTAATAAAAAAAAACACAATTAAACAGTTTATTATATTATTAGGTATTTAGTCTTAAAAAATGAGTTCTTTTAAGTTAACAATTTCACTCATTCACACAGAAATGTAAAAGGTTTATGTAAGCTACACTTTCCTTCTCATAAATATCATTGAGGATTTTAAAAATACTGTCCAGCAAAACTTAATATACCTTCGGTTTATTTTCAATTATTTTGAAGATCCTGCTCATTATTATTAAGTGCCTCTGAATCAGATAGTTATTAAAGATGTTTCTGCTGATTCAGACAAAACTCCACTATCTTCAAAACTTTCAGGAGGTTTTGAATATTCTTGCAGAAGGGTTTTTAGGTGATACACCTTCGAACTTTAAGTATGCTAATTTTAAATTTCATGAAGGGGACGATGTCAGAAATTGCTGCTGCATCTTGAAGACCAAAAACGCCTCTAGTAGAAGGTTATTTTTCAGTTAACTTTTTAGACATTTTTTGGTAGAATTAGTGAGCTGGTTCTTGTGTGGTGAATAACAAGAATTTTGGAGACATTTGTGTGGTACTATCCACTTTTTAATATGTAAACGTTTATCCGTCATTTAAAAAATAAACATCTGGTATCTAAAAAAAAAACATCGTTACTACAATGGTAGATAATTGAAGTCTAACAAATTAAAATAAAACATTTTCATTTTAATAAAGAGTATAGATACAAACGTCAAAATAATTTAGCTGTTGCTTGAATCGTTTCTGTGTAATAATAATAATTTTCTTCTTTTCATATTTCTAGCAACACTAATAAATGTTTGTATTAATGATTGTAAATCATTATCACATCTTGGGAGGAACACTTTTATACAAAACACACAAATTCTTGATTGACAGATGACACATAGTGCTGTCGCATTGCCTTTTTCTTGTTTATTAGGTGACGTTTTTTAAGACAATGAAACTATAAATATGGTGAAAGTTTTAACATAAATAATACTTTTAAAAACATTTGATATTTTATATTTAAAATATATTTGTTTAACGATATTTCAGAAGTCTAAACGTAAGACGGTGCACACAAACGAACGTATATTACTTCTTGTATACCGGCAACGTTATGTTGTCAGTTCCTATTGATCTATTCCCGGCTACGTCATAAATTTTAAAACATTTAATAACTCTGGCATATGAATAGATAAAAAAAAATAAATGTAGCTTTATTTTGAACTGTATTAATCATAAAAAAAAATTCAAACTTTTTGAACATGCCCCATTGTAACTAAAAAAAAAAACAATATTTCTGGAAAAAATTTTCAACATTTATTTTGTGATACATAGCTTTGAGATTTTTTTATTCATCTTTCTTTTACATCTTAGTCACATTTGAATTTTGAATTATTTTTATTTAATTAAGAGATCAATAAAATTTAATATTACATGTACTTTACATAATATCCTATATTTTAATTATAATTATAAGTAATATGGGGCCAATTCAACAATCAGTGATAATTTAAGTACTCATAAGAATGAGTATAGAAACTTCTATTTATGACTAGGATATTGGTCTATCTGTAGAAGTACCTGTGTGTAGGAAATAGCAAATTATTCCTAACTTATAGAATGACGTATCAAAGGATCAAAACAGTATTTTTGTTGCTCTCAATGGAAGTTTAAATTGTTTTTATTAATTTTTAGTTACTCAACGTAGATGCATTCCTAATGTCAAGACTAAATATCAAAAATGAAATGCATTATTTAGCTGTTATTTCAAAACTTCAAGAAATGTGACATACACTTTTATTGAGAAATTTGCGACTATTCCACTGGGATGCTAAAAACACTATAGACTTGTCTGTGTGATATTTAAGACAGTATTGCCGCATTTATCTGTGAAATGTACTGGACCGAGGGACAATTGCAAAATTTCATGAGAGAATTTCCCGTTTGTTACATTCACTAGACCTTAAACATTCTGTGATTATATTCACACAATAAAAAAATTGAAGAATTATTTAAAATCCTTGATAAAAAAATAAAAAAAGGGTCCCAAATCGGAACGAGTAACACTATTAAAATTCGACATTTTTTAACAAACTGTTAATTACCTAAAAGGACCATCAAAAATATCTACGTCTGTATGTATTTAAAAATCTGAAGATTTTTTTCTATAATAATTTGGTTTCAAAGTACGACAAAACGTAAAAAAAATATTGCCTAAAATATTGCACAATGATAATGTTTAAACGTTTAAAAGGTTTTACGAGAAATAAGGCCTTTTAACATATCAAAGGTATTTCCGTCGGGATGTATGGTGCTAATTTGTCCTTCAGCAGATCTAACTTTCAAAAATCCAAAGTCGTCAATACCAACAATTTTCATATTCTCCGATTCGCCTTCATTTATAGCAACAGTTACATCAGTGTTTCTGAAAAAAAAAAAAAAAATTCTTTAGTACATTTTTTTAAATATTCCTTCAAGTAGAAATTAAATACAGTCTTGCATACCCAAGTAACACCATAAAAACACTTTGGGTTTATTTGAGTTTTAAAATGGTTTTAATGTGATAAATAAGAAGATACTGGTTTTAAAGTTATATTGTAGATATATATACTGCAGGCACTTAGAAACCGTTTAGCATTTAACATTGGTTTTAAAGTATCTAATAAGATTCGCTAATAAGGGCAATTAACCTTAAAAGTTGGTATGTCTTGTAGTTTTAAAATGGTTTAGTTTCAATTAACTTTAAAATTACTTAGTTTTATGAAGGACTTGCGGGTTGTTTGGTTTTATTATGTTCTAGATTGTAATGTTTTAGTTTTTAAGTAATTTTAAAGAGATTGGTAATGTAACTAATAAAACTTATTATTAAATCTGCTTGATCTTAGGACAATTTGGTCAGTAAATATTGCGTTTTAAAACCATTTCATTACTTTACCTTATTCTTAAATGCAATTAGATAGCTATATTAAAACGGAACGCTCTTAACTAAATCAATTTAGTTATCGTTAAGACTAACTGTACTTCTTGTTAAAAACAATAAAACTAAACGCATCCCCTCTTTTACGTGGCCCCAATGAACCCCTCTTTTACGTGGCCCCAATGAACCCCGCATTTTGTATCATATCAAACAGTGGTGTACTTACAATAATTAGAAAAAGTGAAAACAATATATTATTATTTGTCTAAAAATACATAAAAACACAAACGAGTCATACGACACGGAGATTTAAAGGTTAGGTTTACATTAAAACCGAGCGGCATTTATCACAGCCGCATTAAAACTAAACCGTTTAAATCACAAGCGAACCTTGCTTTTGTCTAGGGTATGCGCTCTTGGAACAGTATAAAACTCGATTAAATAAAACCCTTTAATCTTAATGTTTCCTTGTCCATTAACTAAACGGTTTTATTGATTTTCCGGCCATTTTACTTTCTCGAGACGGTGGAACCACTGACCTTTTCATCGTACGAATGTACAATCGTGATTCGGTCTCAAAAATACGCGCAAAATAAATTTTAATCAAACACATTACACAATTTATTTGATTTGAATCTACTAATAGGCAACTCAAATTACAAGTGACATTAATGAAGTTGTTTAATAAATTACCTATCGAAATGACAAATAAAAAATTTAAAATGATTAGGATTCAACAAACTGGTTTTAAAAGGGTCTTCACAGTAGCTTTAAAATCAGTTGTTCTAGGTAATATAGTTTTATGGTGGTTTTTATTTTTGGTTTTATTGACCTCTTTCAGAGTGGGCCCTTTTATGCTGAAGGCATATTAATTACAACCTTAAGGCTTCTCTTAAAACTAATTGGTTTTAATTACAGTTTTATTCTACAGTTTTAAAGCATCCTTGAAGTACTGAATAAAACCGTTCGGTGCTACTTGGGAAGCCGTATATTAAGAGCAAAACAATGGCTTGAGTCGAGAGGCATACAACGAACACCACATCTCTTCCACCTCCAAGTTCTACACGATGCAATGCAGTGCAATGCAATTATAATGGCATTCCAGTTAAAAAAAATAAGTCCTATGTAGTATACAGTGTGGCCATTGAACGTTTTCCAATACGTTTTGCACAAGTCCATGTGACAACCACAGAGAGTTAGCATTAATACGAGTAGGAAACGAATAATATTTGCTTTGCCAGTTTATAAGGCCCGACCGCGTTGTAACGTTCGCCAAGCCGAATAAACTAGGAACGTTATTATTAAATTCCTGCTCTGTATTTTTCACATGCACTTGTGCAAAGCGAATTAGAAAGCGTTCGATAGCAGGTACTGTATACTATATACATGCGCGCACGTAAACTTGTCTAAATATGAATTATATGAATGTATTTTTAACTAAAGAACCCCGCACAAATCTTATGAAAATTGGCTCCCGGTAAAATTGACTGAAATTTGGATGTTGTTCGTTTCGAAAAAAGTCTCAATGGGCACAAAGCTCAATTTTGCTTATTTTGGCTCCTACGGAGCTCCAAAGCTCCACGGATTGGCCATTATTTACTACTTAAAAAGGCAATCTCCTCGAAAGTTTAGTATTTTCTGCGTTAAGAAGTACGTTCTTATGTTTTCGGGGTCGCTGCATTCAAATCCAATGCCAATACAATAATATTGACAGTTGACAGCTATCAAACAACAAGCAATAATCAAAATTGATCAAATTCACATGTAAATATGTTTTTGAGGTTGGTTAGTTCAAAACTGATGTTAACAACTCGATATTGACAGTTGACAGCTGTCAACTAACTGTCAAACAGTATGTGACAATCACAATTGACAATATTCAGGAGTAAATAGATGTCTTCGAGGTTGCTGAGTTCAAATAATGTCAAAAAGACGATATTGACAGTGATCAGCTGTCAACTAACTGTCAAACAGCATATGACAATCAAAATTAATAAAATCCACATGTAAATATATGTTTTTGAGGCAGCTGAGCTGAAAACTAATGTTGACAACTCGATATTGACAGTTGGCAGCTGTCAAATAACTGTCAAACTATCACAATATTTATTTCTACCGTCGGCGTTAGCGTTAATTGATGTACACCACCAGTTAGTTGACAGCTGTTAACTGTCAATATCGTCTTTTTGACATCAGTTTTGAACTCAGCAACCTGGAAGACATCTATTTACTCCTGAATTTTGTCAATTTTGATTGTCACATACTGTTTTTCAGTTAGTTGACAGCTGTCAACTGTCAATATCGAGTTGTTAACATCAGTTTTGAACTTACCAACCTCAAAAACACATATTTACATGTAGATTATATCAATTTTAATTATTGCTTGTTGTTTGGCAGCTAGTTGACAGCTGTCAATTGTCAATATTATTATATTGGTATTGGATTTGAATGCAGCGACCCCAAAAACATAAGAAGGTACTTCTTTTTAAACGCAGCAAATACTAAACTTTCGAGATTGCTTTTTTAAGTAGTAAATAATGGTCAATCCGTGGAGCTCTGTAGGTGCCAAAATAAGCAAATTTGAGCTTTGTGTCCATTGAGACTTTTGCTCAGGATGCCGAAACGAATAACATATCCAAATTTCAGCCAATTTGACCGGGAGCCAATTTTCATAAGATTTGTGCGGGGTTCTTTATTGGGTTCATTAAAAGTTATTTTAGAACACTCGGTATAATCGAAATCAATTTTGTAAATAAATATTTCAAAAATAAAATTTAATAATTCAACCGGACGTTAAAATAAAAAAATTGTAATTAAAAAAGTTTCTTGACGTTAAAGATTTTTTTTGGACAGTGTTTCGCTTGAAACTTGACAATGTAGTTAGTTTTCTAATATATTGGAAACAGCCAAACTATAGGAACTATGCCACTGCTCATGTTGCAAAGACAGCAGTTAATCCATATGTATTGTTGAACGCAGGTTGGAAAAGAAAAAAGTAAGTAGCTTCCAGAAAGTTGCAAAGAGCACTTCGTGTCTTTGGTGCTTCCTGGTGACGCCTCATTTGAGGTTCAGAGTCGCTTTTTGAAAGCTCTGGGTTACCGAACTACTTCGTGATTTATTTCTGGTTCCGTGCTAAATTTTGGAGGAATGCTTAATCTTTATTGTGTGTTAGTTGATAACGCGAGTTAAAGGTACCGCGGTTTTTCGGTCATTTTGTGATTACTTTTCACCTAGGGATTACCAGAGAATAATCGTCAATCCTTGAGGTCTAATAAACATAGAATTACTACATTTTTTGTACAGACTCATATATAACATATTTTATTTCTACTCCCTTTGACAAAATATTTTGGAAAAGCTTATGTAATTTTTTTTACTATAATTTGGGAATAGCACTTAATCGCTAAATAACGCTTCAAGACTGGAGACCATGTTTTGAAAGATGGCTCCTATATTATTTTATTTATACATCTAAATTGGATGGCCCTCTTTTGTCAATAGTCTGGTTGAATTAATTCAGTCATTTTAAAACGGCTACATTGTATACACCAGTTTGTTTAAATCGTGACTTAATAAGCTGTTCGATTTAGTTTTTATTAATTTTGTTATTGATCTCTTTTATTTGATATAATTAGCTTTCTTCAGATCAGTGTAATCACTGCAACTTTAAAATCTGGGAAGCACTATTTGTTCAAAAACCACTTTTACACGATCCTGTCAAGTGATGTGAAGTTATTAGATAATTACAATCTTATATCATGGGCTAACTAGACATTTTCAATTCAATACGAGGATTCTTCGGTAACTACGTGGCCTAACACAGAGATGACGCTTGACACGAATTCAAAGGAATTATCTTTACCGAGGGTCGGTCTTTTCACATTCAGATAAAGTTCCAGATAACTAACTAACGGATATATTATCTGAGAGTTACTGTCTGTCAGATAATTAATTTTCTATTTTTGAAAAGTAAATAATATGTGTGGTAGGTATCCAGTAGTTTTTAACCTTTTGTGGTCATGTAACTACCTGATTATCCATCAGTGAAGTATTTTATCAGAAATTTCATAAATAAGATAATTTATCATTTAGAAGTTAAGTTTATCCAGAGGTGAAAAGATTACTTTTTAAGTTACTTGGAAGATAAAAATTACCTGACACTTTATCTGAAGGTGAAAAGATCGACCATGAAGAATCCATTTTTGAATAGGTTAAATATGACAGTACAGAGCGATTTGGCAATTAGTCTGTTTTTGATGGTACGCCATCTAGTGTGATTTTGTAAAAAATGAAAAAAAAAAAAAGAGTTGAGAACAGTGATAAAGTATTTGAATAAGAATAATTTCCTGACCGAAGTAGAGTTTTATATAAATAACAGTTTCCTTGGTTTAATCGGTCATTGTTTTTATTTTTAATCGTTTAGCACAACAATATGAATTTAAATTTGGCAATCTACTCAAATTTAAAAATAAAAAAACTTTATGTATATAGAATTCTATACTCAATGATCGAGGAAGCGCTAGCGCACGGGCCATTTTGATGAAGTTCTGTACAGATGTCAAGACAGGATTACCTCCAATGAAGTATAAACATAATGCCCTACTATGCTATACAGGGTTGTACCAATAAAAACTCCCAGGCCGAATATTTTGGTAAGTAATAGAGATATTTTAATTCTGTAAAAGCCAGTTCACAGGGCACTAAGAGAGCTTCAGTTTTAGATATAAATTGATTTTAAATAGGTTAATATGTAGATGGCGCTGCGCTCAATAATTATTTTTCGATGGGAGGATCTTTCTTGTGTAGCGCATCTTGTAAAAAATACATTTTTAAGCAAATTTTGTTCTATGAACTAATTCGATAAATGTAGCCATTTTTGATATACAGAGTGGGTCATTCAAAACAGTTTCATCCTGTTTTTCGGCATTAATCATTGTATTTTTGGAAAATGCTAAAACAGGTCGATTTTTATTCCAAATTAAAGACATTTATACAATATAGACATATGTCATGTGTCAACCCCCTCCCTTATACTTCTCCACACCTTAATTTTAAATAGGTAATGTACCATGTATGGCTCATCATTGAAAAGGTAATTTAATGGGGGATTCAGAAATATTTCTGTAAATTACGTTACTTAAATTTTATCGCCCTCTAGCGGGATAAAAAACTACTACATATTGTAGAGTGTGATACTACAATGTGTAGTACATCATTAAAAAGGTAATTTTATGGGGAATTTAGAAATATGACTGTCCATTGTGATACTTTTAATTGTACTGCCCTCTATCGAGAAAAAAAACTACGTATTTTAAAGTGTGACACCTTATTTGAAAGCAAATTTAATTACTAATTCAATGTACAACATAACATTAATTAATAACAATATTATTATAAATATTCACATTGCACTTGCAATAGTTTAAAAATTAGTCATGCATTATTTTAAACATTATTGCTAACTTTATTTTGTTGCAAGTGCAATATGGAAATATTTATATTAATGTTATGTGGCGCATTGAATTAGTATTTAAATTAGCTTTCAAATGAAGTGTCACACTTTAAAATACGTTACAGATTTTTTTATCCCGATAGAGGGCGCTAAAATTAAAAGTTTCGCAATAAACTGTCATATTTATGACTTCCCCATAAAATTACCTTTTTAATGATGTGCCGTACATGGTACATTCCTTATTTAAAATTAAGGGGTTGGAGAAGTGGAAGGGAGGAGGTTGACACATGACAGATGTCTGTATTGCAAAAATGTGTTTAATTTAGAATAAAAATCGACCTGTTTTAGCATTTTGCAAAAATACAATGAATTATTCCGAAAAACAGGATGAAACTGTTTTGAATGACCCACTCTGTATATCAAAAATGGCTAGATTTATCGAATTAGTTCATAGAACAAAATTAACTTAAAAATGCATTTTTACAAGATGCGCTACATAAGAAAGATCCTCCCATCGAAAAATAATTATTGAGCGCAGCGCCATCTACATATTGACCTATTTAAAATCAATTTATATCTAAAACTGAAGATCTCTTAGCGCTCTATGAATTGGCTTTTACAGAATTAAAATATCTCTATTACTTACCAAAATATCCGGCCTGGGAGTTTTTATTGGTACACCCTGTATACATCATACTTAAGAAAGAGGGGCACAAATTAGATGGTGGCGAAGAAAATTTTAAAAGAATAATTGACTATAAAACAATTTTTTAATAGAACATTTTTAATGTGACTACTTACTTATGTAACCAATACTTGTAATATAAATCATAGAAATGATCCATATCTCCTTGTTGAACTATATTGTAAACTTTTTCAAACTCATTAAATACAGATGCAAAGTACACTTCATATGAAATCGGTTTCATATGGGTACCTTTAGTTTCATTCGATATTGAAATTAATTCATTTATACAAGTGGTAGGATTGACGTTATCCAAATTTACTCCACAACCTAAAAAATATAACAAAACGATTCAATAGACAAAAGAATCTAAAAATAAAAACTTACAAAAAATAATCTCTTTAAAGAGAGTTATTATTTTTAGATTCTTACACTTTTGAGTTATAAGTTATAGATACATACCAATATTTATTATCGCCGTCTTATCCGTAATAGTAGACGTTATTAGTAAACCACCTATTTTTATTGTTTTATTTGCATATAAGTCATTGGGCCACTTTATACCTATGTCCAAATCCTAAAAAATAGTACTTTTAGTTATTCAAATGAAATACGCTACATTAGAAATGACGCAATTTGGGTCCACTGATGTTTAACTTTTAACACAAACATTGTGTTTGACATATTTATGAAACATATTAAGTCACCAATTTGTCGAAATATACGTTACCGGCTAAACCCGCTTTAAAAATATAGACGCATTGTTTATTTATGAAACATATTTACTACCATATACCTAGGTCAACATACAGACCATCTATAAATCCTGTTTAATTATGAAATATATTAAGTCGCCAATTTAATATGTTTCACAAATTAACAAGGGATCTGCCCTGTGATAGATATTTGTAAGGTTATGTTTTTTAGTGTGTTACTTGATGTATCTCGTGCATGTTCTTTTTCATACTTATAGTTTATCATGGGCGAAAATGGTGCTGAAAACCTTAATAAACGAAGAAGAAAAGGGGTGTTGCATACAGCTGATTATAAGATTATAAGGTTAATAGAGAATTCTTCATACAGTTAGGCAATAGTCGTTTTCTTTTTACAAGCATACTTGACTAACTAAAAGTTAGATTCTGATCTAAGCTTAACTGTAAAAAGAACGCGAATTTTGGTTGACAGGTGACGTGTCCCATGTCATCCGTTTAAAAACAATCCATATTTTAATCAAATTTTATAATTTTTTCAACATTCAACACTACAAATCTCACCCCCTGTTATCATAGTCTTTTATTCTCTCTAAAATAATGAACTCATGGGATATATTGGTTCATATGATTCACAGAACACTCACTTTCTGTGATGGTTTATGGTTGACGTCAAGTACCGTGCATCTTAGCATCGGTAAGGGGGGAAGAAAGATTCTGACTTACAATCATAAAAAGAACGTACATCTCAGCTTAGTCGATGTAAGTTAGCTCAGATTAGTTGTAAAAAGAAAACGACTAATGTTCATAATTTATCTATTTACACTTTCCTTAACTCTTGTCATCTGTCACATAAATTTGTAGACCTAGAAATAGAACGCAAACAACACAGTTGTTGCTTCTACAGTAAAATTAATATTTTGCGAGTTAATATGTTTTATAAATAGGCGATTCATATACGTCTTTAGTTTTTTAAATATATTCTTTGCAGGTCGTTAAAAAGTCGTTTAAAAATATGCAAACAAATTATTTCTAATGTTTAAATGAATACAATATTGAATAAAAAAAAAAGTTAATGAATATTTATAACCTTTATTTTTTATGTCTACTGTCACTGAAACACAAAGGACATTATCTATAATTTAGCGTATTATCTATCAAAAAAAATTATTCGATATTTTACTTTTACTCGACGTTTTAGTGACAGTGAAAGTTTCTTTGTTAGTTTTATTCTCTATTAAGAGGAGTATTTACTTGACTGTAGAGCGGAGCATGCAAGGGTTTCGTAGTACCCCCACTTTTAAAGTTTATTTTTGCCTTATTCTGAAAGAAAAAATATGTTCGTGTAGGTAAAAGATAAATCTATGCTCCTCTGGAGACACTTTTTTAAAATTTGAAACTGTTTTTTCTAAAAAAAAATACAAAACTCGACTTTTTTACTCATTTTCTCAATTTTTTTTTAGAAAAAACTAAATTGAATTTTGAAAAAGTGGTTCCAGAGGAGCATAGATTTAACCTTTACCTACACGTACATATTTTTTCTTTCAGAATAAGTCAAAAATAAACTTTAAAAGTGGGGTACTACGAAACCCTTACATGGCAAGATTTTTCGTCTGGAAAGTGGCGCCTCTGTTAGATTTTTAAGAAATTAATATTTGTGAATGAAAACAATTTATAATATATTTTACTGATGTTTTACGAGGGATGAATAAATTTTACTTATTTGTACACCTTATTTTTTACGTAATTTATTTCTTTAATACTAAGATTGGAATATATATTATACTCAAGGGTTTCATAGTATACCAATTTTACGGATTATTTTTTAATTTTACTAAAAGAAATTTTATGTAAGTACAGGTAAAGGCTTAGCCCATACCTCTCTGGAGTTACTTTAAAAATATGAGTGTCTCTTTTGAAAAAAATCTAAGAAAAGAAACAAAAAGAAATAGAAATGTTAAAAAATGCTAGAAGAGAACAATATATTTAATTTTTGCCTACAGGAGCATTTATTTTTATTACAATAAAAATAGGAATACGTTAAAAGCTTTTTCGTCTAGATGGTGACACCAACAAAATATATATCTTTTTCTACTATTTAGTGTTAAACAGTACGTAAGTGATTTGAATTCATGTTGTTATTGTTTACATACAGTAATTTTATCATTTATTTATTAAAAAAATATATACTCGAAATTGGAAGGTATGCACTGAGATGTGAATTATAAATATGTTTTTGTTTAATGAATACCTCTTCGAGTTAACAATAATTATTAATTCCAGCATGTTAATATCTCTTCAATCCGTTAAAGTAATGTAAATATTTTTTCTTGCTTTCGCGCATGGCTTTGATCTGTCACACCCTTTGAGGGTGAGAGAAAATTTCATAAAAAGTTATCCAATTTCTATAAATGAGAAAAAAAAAAACGATTTTGACAAGCTGATTTGCATTGTGGCACAATAAAAGACAAGTCACTGCTTTAAAATTTGGAGAAATTTGTAAAAAATTTCCTAAAATAATTTATTTATTTGTAAAGCCACCCGATTTGGCATGGACCATAAATTCAGAGCAAAATAAGATATGGAAAATTATTTGCAAGTAAAAGTTTTTAAATGTGGACATTTTATTGAATTCGAATTTGATTATGTTGCTGCCAGTCTGGATGGAATTAAAAAAAAAACAAAACTCTATGATAGAGTTAAAATGTCCATATGGAGCTGAAGTGCTAACTGTAAAAGAAGAAATATACAGTAGAGAAATAACTTTTTGGAAAAAGAACAATACCATTAAGGAGAACCACTATTGGTATTTTCAAATTCACAAATAGATTTTTGCATTTTGTGCTTTTGGACTTCTGGAGGAATAAAAGTGGAGAAAATATCTCATGGGAAGAAAAGATACAAAATAAAATTAAAATTTTTTATATGCAATATGCCTTGCCGGAACTTGTTGACAGCGAAGCTAATAGAGACATGGAAGTACGAGACAGAATACTAAATAATTCGTAAGAAATTTTATTTAATGTTTATTAACATAACGCAAGGAATCTTAAATTATTTTGAATATTTTTATTAATTTAAGAATTACATTTTATTTATTTCTAAAACATGGTAGTAGGCGATCTATTTAAGATATAATTAATGTCTTATTATTATAGTACACTATTTTAAATTTAGGATTTTACCAGTGGCAGTGGTAATTGATGATATATAATTATGATTATACTAAATGTTTTAAAAGGATACACCAACTAGTGGACCATGCTTTTAAGTCCCCAAATAATAGTTTCAAGATTTTGATTCGGATTAGAAGTTTTGTGTCAAAGCCAAGTTATGTATTGATATTGTAATACGTAGATGAGTAACTATCATCAATAGAAATTGAAAATTCACACATGAATCTTTATAACGACGTTATTTATAACTTTATTAACTTCATAACGGTCAAAAATTTTAGTTAACTTATTTAATTTTAAATATAAATTTTCATTTTAACTTAGAAATTTTCGAAAAGTTCACTATATTGTTTAGTTGTTGCAACTTTACTGCGCTTAAGTTGCGTTCAGATTAAAATATGAATTGATTTATGGAGCTTAACTGAAAAACAGGAACTAATGCTTTCATTCCAAAAAAACTATTATGTTCAATAAAAAGAATTTCGAACTGTGATATCTGCAAGTCCTTATCATTATACAAGAGTTATCTTTATAAATTGATAGAAATATCGAACAAAAGTTTATTGACATAAACATTATTTCCATAATACAAATAAATATATCTCTGTTTAAGAATACTCATAATTTATTTAATATATTCATTTAAACATGTTTTTGTTTTTTTGTCTGGATGATATTGAATACTAACTTTTTCTTTGTAACTTCGTTTACCCGTGACATTGTGATATAAAAAAAACAGACAATTAATTAAAAGCGTACTCACAATTTTTCAGGTATAGAATTTTCAATGCTATACTGTTTCCCAAATTATGAAAATACTAAAGAATATTAAAAAAAAAAAAAAAATAATAAAAAGCCAATTAAAGAATGTGTTAATATCTACAGAAGAACATCGTATTTCTTTTTTGGAAACAAAGAGTAGTCGAAAATTGTGAAAATAACAACATATTTTTATTACACAAAAATAATAAGTCAGTTTTTGTTTTTTATGTAAATCATATCAGAAGAAAAGTCACCGAATACCAATTTCAGAAAGGTCTATTAGTTTTTATAGGAAATGGAAAGAGAAAGAACGCTCTTTAATCAAGTTAAAATTCTTTACTAATTTTGCTGTTTCTCTTCGACGATGTCCGGTCTCCGTCTTGTTTAAAATCGATAACTATAAACAAATTAAGGTATTTTGTACCGTGTTAAAAAATTTAAGAAAAAATTTTTTTATTTAAAAAAAAAATAGTAAACTGACAAATATATACAATATTCTAAAAGATAAATCACATTTATGTGATTATACAAAAATTTTATTTATTTTTCTAAAATAATATGGATTGTCCTCTAAAATATATATTCTAAAATATATATAGTGGCTCGCAAAAAGTCTGATTTTTATATGTTACTTTTTTCAGAAAATGTTATTCCTGATAAAACTTGGTGTTTAATTAAACCTAAAACGTTATTTATTTAAAAAATTCTGTATTATAAATATAAATTTGGCTGCACAGTGAACTAGGTACTCTTTTAGGAACCGAACCCACATTTTTACGTATAAGATTAATTTAAGAAAATGTATACAACTCCAGATAGTAATTTTTTAGTTAATACAATTAATATAGATTATTATATCCTTTTTAACCTACTTCACAATTCGTCTGTATATATTTTTTTTATGTATGTTCAGCGATAATTCTTTTACACAATGTCCGATTTAAATGATTCTTTTTTTGCTGGAAAGGGGGATACTTCCGGGATGGTCCCTTTTAATTTTGGTCAAAATCTAATAATTGGGTCCATGAGAAAATCCTCATACTTTTCATTTTTTATGTATGTTTAGCGATAATTCTTTACCGCCTTTACCACCGATTTCTATAATTCTTTTCGTTAGTAAGGGGGTACCTCAGGGGTGGTCCCATATAAATTTGGTTAAGATGTGGTGATGGCATCACCACGATTTTAAAGTAGATTTTTTAAAATTACTTTTAAAACTTGTTACGTAAATTAAAAGTTTAATAATTTGGTGCTTTCTTGATGCGTCGTTTTATGAACACTTTGTATGTGTTTAAGTACAGATAATTATTATTATTACTGGCAGTTTATTTTAAATCATTAAAATAATATTTTGTTAATCCAAAAACGGCAAGCAAAAAAGCCATGTCACATTTAGTGTAATAATAAAAATTAGATATATAAATAATAAATATAGTATATTATGTACCAACAGACTAAACTTTTACTTTCAATCCCGCCTTTTTGTCGTAAAAGACTTCTAAATTTTTTCTAGTGACGTCCGTACCGGGTTTGAACTGAATATTTTTGAACAAAAATATGGTACGCCACTGCTTTTTCTAAAAACGAAATTTTTTTTTAAAATGCTTATTTATTTTGGAGCAAATTTGGTTTATAGACGTACTTTCGTACGACGCACCCTTTTCGCGTAAGAAAATAAAAACCAGTTTATTGAAACTGCTTTTGATATTTTGTTGAAATTTGGTAGGAACCCACCATGAGTGAAAACACTTTTTTTTTGGGCAAAATAAAATAGTTATTTTTTTCTTAAAACTTTAACACCCAAGGATTCACACCCTTAAGTATCGGCACTCAATTAATAAATACCCTGTATTAAATCACCTTATTCGAACCAATCGTCTATTTTTTCGTTATTTGTATTTATATTTCACAACTCTTTACTCCTAAATGTAATTTAATCTAACTAAACCTATTCACTAAATTAAAATATAAAAATAATGTAAAACCCTCTAAAAAAATCGAACTGCGTTATAACAATATCTCGCAATGCACCGAGAAAAACAAATAATTCTGGTTCCCCTAATTTAGGTAACTCTGACTAAATCAAGAACAAGAACTGATGAACGTCTGTCGGCAGCCGTTGTAGGATTTTTAGGTTCCTATGAGTCTCAACTTAGCGCGTTAGAGTTTGGAATACGTATCCCTCGTATCTACAGGCAATTGTTAAAATTATGAATGAATGCGGATTTTGTTTAGTCTCGGAAGTAATTTTGTAGTATTTAGGCTCCACCCTTAAGTTGTAATTTTTATACCTACTAAACTACCGTTGCCCCGCAGGTCTTTCAGTTTATAATGTAAATTTTCCTCTTAATGAATATAATATAGTAAAAAAACCTATTGACCGCTAGTGTTGTATCATATTTTTATGTACTTGTAAAAAAAATTTAATAGTTATTTATGCAACAAGTGCAAAAGTGTTTATTACACGCAATGTGAAATTGTCCAACGAGGCGTCAGGCCCAGTTGGACAACACGTCGAATGCAATAAACACTTTTTGCACGATTTGCATACAATATTTTTTCTATGTTCATGCAAAAACCAAAACTTTCTGACTTTTCTAGAACTGCAGTTGTATTATCCAAATCATAGTTGCCATTATCGTGTACCTTTGTTTGAGGCATTTATTTACGTTTGTGTTCATAACTTGTAATGGCATTTTTAATAAAATACATTTTTTATTAATTTATTTATTAAATGATTGAAAATAATATAAAATATGCAATTGTTTTTCAAACGTAATACAATCTCACAGAAAATGAAAATAGACTAAATATTTGGCATCTATTTGAATATTTATGTTTGTCATGATCATAAAACGCTGTAGTAAAATGACAGATGAGTGCAATAAAATTTTTATTGCACTAGTGCAATAAAGAACCAGTTTTTTCACTAAATATAGTTCAATAAAGTTTTGTTTTTTGCATGAACGTAGAAAAAACCTATTAGAATACTATAAACTGTTCTATTAACAAATATTATAAACGTTGTTTTTAAATTAAATCACTAAAAGTACATACAAACGTTAAATAAATTTGTTATTACTGTTACGAATGTTTTTAAAAATTAAAATAATTTGATATTATTTTTCTGTTAACAAAACGAACCTGACATCCTCTACTTGATTTAATAGCCGATACAACAGCAACCATTGTAAGATGTTGAATAAGAGGCAATGCCTGGCCTAAAGGAGACTCAAGAGGCACATGCACCTGAAGAGAAAACATAGCACTACCAATGGGACTGATCCATAAATTATTAGACCTGCCTAAAAACAATAATTATATAATTAACTATAACTACCTACTTGAATATGCAAGTATATCGGAACGTCTTATTTCTAGCTAAAATCAATAATAGTATATTACATTACGAGTGGAAAGTGACATTTTTCACACGAGTGGGAAATATTGTCGCACGAGGCACAAGCTGAGTGCGACTATCACACGAGTGTGGAAAATTCCTTTTCACACAAGTGATGTACAATATTTTTCCTACGACCACAAAATAATTTCATAAAAAAATATAAAACCAGGTTATTATTATAATAATTCAAATGTATTTAAAAAAATAATCAACAATAATCGTATTTATTCAATTTTCATATTTTCTAAACAGAAAAAAAAATTAAAAAACAAAAAAAAATTCTGGCCCCGCCAGGATTTGAACGCGGTCGCTCATCAGGTCTCAAATGGCAAAATTGATATGTTTGACGATCTAACCATCTAAGCTAATAGGCCATGCGTCAATTTGATGATCTAATCGGTTATGTGTTTAACAAGAATAAAGAGCAAACATATCTTAGTTATTTTAAAATTATTTTTAATAATAATTGTTAAAGATAAATATATAGGATCTAATTTACAACAATTTCAATAATTTAACAATCATATCGATTTTAGTAATAATATGGACATTACAAAGATCAAAATAGAAATGATGCATTTGACATTTTGTGACAGCTGCTACGGAAAGTAGCATATTCGTACACGGGTGAAAAGTAAATTTTTATTCATACGCGTGTGATATAGGGCACTTTCCATAGGACTATATAGTGTGATATGTGTCACTTCTCTAAGTGGTCGTAGGAAAAATACTTTTCTGTAACATTAAATAATGAAGAATAAAAAAATAAAACATAGTGCAGTTGGTAGTATTTTTAATGCAAAACGCATGTGTAATAATAGTAATTTTAACTTAGAGGTAAACACTGAAAAACGCTATTTAATTTGGGGTCAAAAGCTTTGAAATACAATCAAACTCTGAAGTTTCAATTACACCTTAAAAACAAGAATTTCCCAATCGTAAAAGTTACACATAATCCCATTATCAATAATAAGAATAATAATCCCTTGTTAAAGATAAAACATTGTTAAAATTAAAAACCCACAAAATCTAAATTAATTACATAATACGTTACAAAAAAAAGATACAAAACAAAACTAGGCACAAAAAAGCGCGGTAAACTTTGCAAATCAGAAAAATTGTAGTTTTATTTGAAAAAAGACATCTACAACCCAAAAATGTCAAATTGTAGTATTTTTAAATGAATCACCCAGTATTCAGATTTTTTCTGGTAATTTAATATGAGGAAAAATATGGTGTTGAATTTTCAAAAAAAAGTCTTACCAACTCCAGTTGTTTGCTGCCTTGGTATTATAACAATTCCATGTGAAAGGGTTTTATCCAGTAAAAATTGTGAACATGCCATCACATCAGAATAAATTACTAATCTACCGATATGTTCAGTTGCCAAAGCCTGCAAATAAAACATTCCTTTTTGTAATTGCCTCTTCAAATTGATAGTTTTTAATAAAAGTTACTTATACATTTTTACTTTTATATAAAAAGAGCACTGCTAAAATTCACGGAAAATGCAAAACAAATATAAACTTTTGGGGCATGGTGAATAATCCAAATGCACGAATTTTGTAAAAAAAATTAAACATTAAAAAGTTAGTTTCTGTAGTGATTAAAAAAAAAATGCCGAAAAACCACTATTTTTCGAGAAAATTGTAATTAAAAATCTCGATTTTGTAGGTTATACTGACAAATTCTGTTTTGGGAGCAACAAATTCCAAATAAAATTACAAGTATCAAAAAAATAAGAACCTAAAACCTAATCTAAATATACAATATAATAAAATATAAATATATTACTAGTATTCTAATAAAAAAAAAACTAATTTGCTTAACATGTGCGGCCTAGAGCCATCGCGGTTTGATTTGCAGAAAAAAATATATATAAAATGAAAAAAATAAAACTTAACTAATTTAACTAACCTGTGCTGCCTGGAGCCATCACAGGTTTCTTCGCAAAAAAATATACATAAAACGAGAAAAATAAAAAATTAACTTACATAACCTGGAGCTATTTAAATTTGTTTAAGCCAACTTTAACACAGATGCAGACCACACAGCAATATAATAGAAAAAACAATATACGCAATGTTCTTGCGATTTTATCTATTAATGAGAATATATTCACTACCTCCATCTATATAAGCTCTGTCATTAAACATCAATAAACAGAATCAATTTTTTTATTTACAAACAAAGTTAAAACTGTAGGAAATCGAATGAGGACTTTTGCACTATCTAGTACAAATATTTTCGACATTTCAGAAATAAATCAAAATCAAAAATTCCTTACCTCAAAGTACTGTACAGTTGAAAAATTTGAAGGACAAGAATGGATGTAAATTGGCATAAAATTTACTGAAGCCGGTTCAGCTTGTTCATCCTTCCCACAAAATTTCGCTGACATTCTTGTACAATTCAAGTTCTTATCTACTATTGCGTCGCAATCGGAAAATAGTTTCAGTTTCAGCTAAAAATTTAAAAAACATTTTGGTACACATTTCTGCTTTGAAAATACTTAATACCAGTAATTACTACAATATTAGAATATAATGGCGTTTTCCATAGGAATGTTCAGTGCTATGTGAGTATATTCTCACTTCCTTCTTTTCTATATAGATAAATAAGGACACAAATATACTCAGTGCGTACTGCCAGTGCCAATGGAAAACGCCATCAGTATTAAACGAAAGTCAAATTACTAGTCCTGTGATCTTGCCACAACAAAAGTAACTGTTGCATAGCCTAAAAACGGTAAACCAAAGAAAACAAAATTAAAAAATGACGCCATTTTTAAACACTCGAGTTACACCATAACCTACTTAACATTTCTAATGTATTGATTTAAAAATTGTAAATATTGTGATAAATCAACTTGATTTAAAAGAGAACTTAAAAATACGGCTAGAGAATCTCGCAACTGTTTTATAAAAAATAAAATTCCCGATTATATTACCACTGGTAAAATGATAATAAACTTAAAGGACACTAGGCTGACATACCAAGCAAGATTGTAAGTGAAAAAATAATTAATGAACTTTAAAGCGCGAGCATAATTCGTGAAAGTCGATCGGAATAAGCAAGCTCTATAATGTTTGTATAAAAAAAAATGGCGAAGTTCGAATGTGTGTGAATTTCCGTAATATTAACAAGAAAGTAGTTAAAGAAAGATGCCCATTGCCTCATAATCAAGATCAGATTGATTCTCTCTGACATGGAAAATACTTTACTACATTAGATATGAAGTCTGGATTTTATCATAGGCAAATTGAAGAAAGATCAAGGCACATCATGGCTTTTGTTATGCCAGATGGGCATTATGAGTTTAATTACAAAACCTGGAGGAAGTACTTAACGCGCTATCCACATATGCGTTTGCTTTGAACTATGAAAAATGTATTCTTTGTCTGAGAGACTGAATATCTTAGTGTTGTTTTAAGTGTAGTATCAGAGCGACCTAGTCAGTGTAAAATAAATGCCTTCACTGAAGCGCCTATTCCGACAGATGTTAGAAGTGTACGATAGTTTATGGGACTTGCTAGCTATTTCCGACAGTTCATTAAATGATTCTAGGAGTTAGCTGCACCAATAAAGGATTTGTTATGAAAAAGAAAATAAATGTACTTCCTGCTATAGAAGATAATATAAATTTATTCAATAACGGGTCACGCAAATAAGTATTGAATTATGGCACACTCGACATATTTTGGAAGATGCGCCGTCAACCGATAACTATGTCGATCCAGTCAAGGCCGTAGCTGTCAAATATAAATCAACCAATAACAAATTTCATTTCATATAATAGAAATATTAAAATTAGTAAACAAATTAAAACTTACATCATGTCTTCCCAAGAAATAACCTGGAGTATAGTCAATCTCCATTTGCGTCGAACAATCCATCTCCAAGTGATTAACTAAAATGTCTTTCAAAATTTCCATTCGAGCCTGATCACTGCCTTTTAGGGCCTCGAACTTATTTTCATCGTCTTCGAATTGATTTGGATTTATTTCCAAATGAACTTGCGAAAAAACGGCTCTACCTCTGCCACCTAGAAATTTTATAATAAAATAAGGCAAATAAATAATAATTTAGATTTTATTGACCATTTCAGTATAATATGTAAAATAAACAAGGTGATAAGGATAACACCCACATAATTTTGACAGAAGGAAAAACCCACATATAGTTAGTTGAGTCTTAAACTTTGTTATAATCCTAAGGTATCTGGACACTGAGCATTATAGCACAACTCGGCAACATTGTTTAGCTGTCTATGTATTTTGTTGTTAACAAATTATGTGAAACATTTACCACGAATTTTATTTATCACTAACCTTTCAGTAATATCTAAAAAAATATGATTCAAAAATTGTTTTTTAAAAAATATTTTTTAATTCAAAATGGAAATATAATTATTGACTTAATTCAACAAAAGCTAAGATCGGACTAACTTCTATAAAGAAAAATGTTCTGAAAGCTATTTATCTATTCACAGTCAAAAATCTCCCTACAATATGATGTACTTTCTTTTATATGGTTATGTGCTTTTAGTTTGATATGAAGTTTAGTGTAAAAATTATATTATAAAAGTTGTTTAACCTACTGAATATAACCTTACCTTTGACACTAGCTAGAAGCAGACTTGGCGTTTGCCAAGTTTCTTCTGTACCCAGAACTTGTACTTGTATTATATAGTCTTTTCCGCCGTGTTGAATTTCAACAGCAGATGGTGTTCTGGGTGCAATTGGACTCGAGCTGTTACTACTGTAAATGAGATATTTAGATATTACTGACAGCTCGATGAAAAGTACAAAGAACATTCTAATAAGATGATTGATTTTATCCTATTAAAGTGAAAATAGAATTAAATAATATATCTTATTTTTTTCACATTTAATTTTTAATCGTGGGTGTTAATTTGTAGACTACCAATTCATATATCGGGTGGTGTAGTGTTGTGCAGGACATAGGAAATTTCATGTAATTCTAAATGGGATCAATTATTAGCTTCCCTAATTATTTTAGAGAAAACATTTGCCCGTTTACGAGTTATTGCCGATTTCTTTATAAATATTTCTCCTTTTTTTATGGCCCTGTATTTATGAATACACCTTTAAGAGCCCCGCATACCACATATATTTTTTGTTTTTTGATCTTAACGTCCTTATTTTTAAAAATATATTTTTTTGTTTTCACTGACCGATTGGTAATTTTTATATAATTGGCGCGTGTTTTTTACATATTTTGAAAGAAAAAATATAAAATTTTTATTTTCTAAACTACGATAAAAATTTAAAACCGATTAAAAAAAATGTTTTTTCACGAAATAAGAGAGATATGATCAAAATAAAATTTAAATAATTGTCACTGATTTTTGCTGCCATCGCAAAACCCGGCGGATTTTTTTAGAACATAGACCATCAGAGACGGGATTTTCAGCTATTCACTGGAAAACATAACACTGAAAGTGCTCTGCATAGATATTTTATTGAAACACATATACAATTAACGATCTCGTAATTATAATTATTATGGACTATATAAATATTAAGGCGACATTAAATATTAGTTACTTATATACTAAATTAAATGAATACAAGGCTAAAATGCATGTATTTTATTAGAATCTCTTCGTTTGAAAATTAGCGAAATAATTTTAATTCCGTAAAGAATTTTTATAAACAATATACCTAAATTTAAGCAAATGGTTTTGTAAGAAATCTTAGTTCCAAACAAGAAATATAATTTACTATTTACCTATTACCTACCTATGATAATTATTTATTACGCTGATTATTTATTACGCCGACCTGATATTAAAAAACAGACGGGTAAAAGAAAGACGGAGATGAAACGCTTGACACGCCCATTGTTTTAAAAATTCCTAATTACTAAAAGTACTAAGAGTACAATACAATAACAATAAATTATAGTAATATTGACTGCATAACGTTGTTGTATATTTTGTTTTTAAAAATAAATAAATTCAAATAGAACTATAAAAAAATCTAAAATTAATAAAAACTATTTGTGTTATTCTTTAAAAAGAAAAAGAACCTGTAACAATATTAGAGCATATTGGAGGACGTAAGTAATTTTAGTACTATTTTTATATGTATTGCGTTAGACAGATACTCAGTGCTGTAATAGCCACCACACGTAGGTCGGAAACAGGCCCTGTAATGTGCATACCACCAGATTATGTGTAACGGTTTTAGAAATGTTGGTTGTAGGTAGTTCCTCCCATTAAAAAATTATTATTTTTAATTATGTTTTGGGAGATATAAATTGAAAATTGAAGTTAAATGCAATACGTTTTACTAGGAGCGCAAAAGAAGTAAAAAAAAATGGTATATTCATAAACTAATTTGGAAAGTGAGAGTACAGAAATAACGATTTTCAACGAGTTATGTACAGGGTGATTCTTTTATCATGGGAAATGAGTTTTTCTCGTAAACGGCTGCAGCAAATTGAGTTTTGTGAAAAGTATTTTATTTGGGCCGGCTAATGCTTAAAATTGGGATGGATAAGGAAGTTATAAATAAGCGACGCTGGGCGTCGCGACGCTTCAATTTTTTTTTTTTGGTCAGAAGCATACCATTTTTATTTCAGAAATTGAAAGATCTATTCAATAGAAACACTTTTTTCAAATACCATTTTTTTCCATCTAAAACCATTCAAGCATTACAGACCAGTTTTTATGTTTTAAATTTGTCGATTGCCATACAAAAAATGCTGGGTTTTTAAATTTCACTAAATCAGGCAGGCTAACTTTTATGCTGATATTGACAACAAATATAATTTAGGATTTAAAGAAAACAATTTACAAGATGTTCCTACATTTAATAACACTTATGTAATTGTTTAGGAAATAATCAAAGTTTACACTAACAACCCATAAAACATACATAAAACATTAAAGAATAACATGAACTGTATTTAGTAAAAATTAATTGCTAATTCACAAATCTTATTTTAACAATTGCTCGATATATGCGCCATCGTTATCCACACATAAATTGTACCGCTTTCTTATTTCGAAAGATGTAACTTTTCTTAAAACATCACCAGATATTCCATTGCACGCATCAATAATTTTTTGTTTTAAAATATCTAAATTATTAGATTTTGTTTTATACACTATATTTTTTAAAATTCCCCATAAAAAGAAATCTAAGGGTGTCAAGTCCGGAGATCTAGGCGGAAATTTCAAGGGCCCGTGTGTCCCCAACCATCTTCCGTGGTAGACTTCATTCAAATAATTTTGAACAATGACCGCATTGTGGCAAGGAGCTCCATCTAGTTGAAACCATAAGTTCCTTCTGATTTGCAGTGGCACATGTTCCAGCAAAAGAGGAAGGTGATTTTGGAGAAAATCTAAGTGTCTTGGGCCCGTCAAGGCGCCTTCATAAAAGTATGGCCCTACTAAGTGCCGCCCGACTATTCCGCACCAGACGTTTATGCCAAAGTGGCCCTGTATTTGATGTTGTCTGATTTTGCGCGGGTTTTCGTCTGACCAATAATGGGTATTTTTTTTGTTTGGTAATCCATGACTAACAAAATGACTTTCGTCTGTCCATAGTATATGAGAAAATAAATTAGGATTGTCATCCAAAGACACCAAAAACTGACAAATAAAATCCTTCCTCCTCTCAAAATCTCTAAGCGAAAGTTCTTGCAAATTATGAAATTTATAGTCATGGTATTTGTTGCTTTTTAAAACTCTTTGTATCACACTATAATTTAAATTTAAGTCTCTTGAAGCCTCTCTTATAGAAGCTTCATGGTGATTGTTAAAATAATTTAAAATAATTGCCACATTTTCATCCGTCGTGACAGTTTTTGTTCTTGATCTTTTACCTGCAAATTTGGCTCATTGAATTTATGGGGATTTATTAAAAAACACAAAACCTACCTTCAAATGCTTTAGGGTTTTGACGTAAACTAGTTTCTAACCTGGCAAACATTTTGTGGTCTGGAAGGTTGCGTTCGGGGTATTTTTCCGCATATAATCTTCTTGCAGCTAAACCATTTTTTTGGGCTTCTCCGTATAAAAGAAGCATGTCAACTTTATCTGAATGTGTAAACATATTTCTTATTACTCACTATTTTAATAGGAATAATTGAAATTACACTGACAGTTTCAGACATCAATCAATATAAGCCAATTATGTTTTTTCAAAGCCTACCTGATTTAGTGAAATTTAAAATACCATGCATTCTTTGTATGGCAATCTAGAAATTTGGAACATAAAAACTGGTCTGTAATTTTTGAATGGTTTTAGATGGAAAAAAATAGTATTTAAAAAAAGTGTTTTTATTGAATAGATCTTTCAATTTCTGAAATAAAAATGGTATGCTTCTGACAAAAAAAAATTTAAAGCGTCGCGACGCCCAGCGTCGTTTATTTATAACTTCCTTATTCATCCCAATTTCAAGCAATAACCAGCCCAAATAAAATACTTTTTACAGAACCCAATTTGCTGCAGCCATTTACGAGAAAAACTCATTTCCCATGATAAAAGAATCACCCTGTACACAATTTTTCATACGAACATAACTTACGAACAAAATTTTATCACATATCATTTTAAAAGCAATGTGCTTCAGTAAAATATGTTAATCCATTATATTAAAGTTTACCTAAACAAATTTTTGACCGAAACTTATAAAAGTGGACAGATTATTTATGTAGGTACCTATGCAATTTCTTAAGTTTGAAGTTAAGCCTACAATGCTTTATTAGTTTATTACATTAACAGTGAATATAAAATACAACAATCAAGATAACACAATAAATATATTTTATGACGAAAATTGTTTGATTTATACTGGCCACAAATATACTAAAATTACCTTCCAATTTAAAATATAATACCTAAACTGATCACGAAACCGTCCATACCTAAATGTATTAGGTATAAATGTTATGTCAATTTGGAATTTGTCAATAAACCTTATAATGTAATCTGCAAACAAAAAATCTGATGTGTCCAACACATGACTTGCCTGTCTAGTTATTACAAGCTTTTTCCGGTTATTTTGTACAACTCCTGTAAATATTCATTGCCACTGAAAAATTTAAATTTTATATTTTTCCTCAAATTCTTCCAATACGGTCCATTTTAAATAAATTATATAAATAATAAAAATTATAGAGAATAAAATCGTAAAAGAACTATTATTTGAACAATTTTCTAACAAAATGGAATTTTGCACTTTTTGTCAAATTTCTGGAATATTGACCATTTTAGAAAAATTATGTATTTAACAAAAATTAGAAATAATAACATTACATGCAACTTTTATTTGAATAAATTTCTTCTCTAAGTGTAAATAACAGATATATTTCATAAAGTAGAAAAACGACCCTCTATAAGGGTCCCCACCAGATATTAGGACTATGCCCAAAATTTAATCAATTTACCAAAGGATGGAGAAAAGACTAAATTTAAAATTTTGTTTTTTTTTATTCAAAATTCAAATTTTACACGTTTTCTCAAATATATCGAATACGGTCCATTTTAGAGAAATTGTGTGGAATAAGAATCATAGAGAATGATATTACAAACAACTTTTATTCATATAATTTTCTTAAAAATTTGAATTTTTTTTATATTGTCAAAGAATTATAGAGACAAATTTTCTAAAAAATTAAAGTGTTTCACATTTTGTCAAATTTCTCAAATACGGACAAAAATTTTAGAGAATATTAGAACTTTTATTTGAAAAATTTTCTTCTCGAAACGGGAATAACAGATATATTCTATAAAATATAAAATATAAAGTACCCCCCAGATATTCAGACTCTGCCCAAAATCTAATCAGTTCACCGCAGACCGGAATAAAGTTTAAAATTTGGTGTTGATCTCTATATCCGTTTATGATTTATCGAGTATACAGACATCATCGCGAAAAGTCAAAACGTAAAAATCCATCAAAAACTCGAGGTCGAAAAAAAATTATGATTCCTATACTTTCCTTATGTACTTATCTACAGACAGGAAAGTAAAAAATATCTACCTAGGTAAAGAATTAGTAATTTCTATTTCGTTTTAGGTTTGCCCACCCAAATAATATTGATAATGATAATAACAAAAAACTAATTAGTTATTATTTGAATTTATAATTTAACTTTTTATTAGAACACATAAATTTACATATCTTTTAGCTTTTATCCCGACTTTTAAAAAATACAAAATATATCTACCACTTTAAGTTTCTATAAGTAATTTTGGCACTTATAAATATGTTAATATGATCTTTTCTTCTGTATATCAAGCATATGGTGGCATAATGTTAGTTTATCTTAATTATCTCGCTTATTTATGACTTATGATAAAATTAATATTTGAAAACTATACACCGGTATGCATAGTCGGTCGCCAGCGATTCGCCAGAGATTCATTCCGGCGTATCGCCAGCGATTCGCTGGCGAAAGCCCGAAAAGGTGGCGACCCGCTGGCGATTGTCACCGGCATCTCTCGCATTTTATTATTGATTCATTTCTTAAAACTCAAAAAACAATGAACGCATATCAATTTTCCCCTATAAAAGAACATGAAAACTTGCGTGAAATGACATGCCGGTGACAATCTCCATCTCCACCTTTTCGGGCTTTCGCCGGCCGAAATGAATCTCTGGCGAGTCGCTGGCGATCGACTATGCATACGGCTGTTAAAATCCTTAAGCTTTTGCCTAATAATAATCAAGAATAAATTTACGAATTTTTACACAGTTTTCGTCTCGTCGCTTTGCTTCTATTGCCGTATTTATACATATACGCGTATCCCAATTTACAAACAATTTTTTCAATGTATTCTCAGTTGATAATATTTATTTCGATAAAAAGAGATGGATGTTAGAGACGACGCAACCAGCAAATCCCGCATTTGAATTGATCAGGCGGTATGCGGGGCTCTTAATATTTTTGATGTATGAGTTTTTAATAACAATAAAGCACACATTTCAACATGACAACTTCATATGACAGTCATCTTTTACCTTGACTGCTGCTTGTAAATATAGGGCAATAAAAAAAAGAAATATTTAAAATGAAATCGGCGACTGCTCGTAAACGGGCTAATGAAAAATATCTAAAGTTATTCTTTTGAATGTGGGTTTTAGTGCTCTTTAATAAATACAAAAGAATTTTTCTCTAAAATAATTATGGAAGTTGTAACCTACCGCACCCAGGTACCTTAATAATTTATTAATTCCATTTATTAAATACAATGTTCCATTCTTTTAAATTCAAAATGCTTCATTTAATGAAAAAAATCTCCCAGATAATTAAATCTTATTTACGACACCTAATAAATAATATCTATAACCACGTCCGTAAAAGATGCACGTGGCTGAGTTCCTCGAGAAAGAAAACACCATAAAGTGTATTTCTGTTTACGAAGTAATTATCATTAAAACACTTAAGTCGCTTATTTTCCTAGTTTCGATGTTCAGACCGATATCGACAATATTTCGATACACAAAACTTTCAAGGCAAGTAATAAATAACCCATCCCCTTTTGCACCTACATTCGTTTTTTCTATGAGAAACAAAACGACAGAGACGTCACAGAAACGATTAAACTGTGTATAAAAAGTCTGACGAAAATGAGCTCGGAGCATTCAATTTTTATCATTTGATGTGCAAGCATACATTTTATTATCTGTACCCAGTTATATAATCTGTACCTTTCCTAAACGCTCCTCCTAAACGACGTCTATCCTACAATACCTCCTATCCCCGACGGTGTCAACGTCTCGACGCTCAACTTCCTGCCATCCTACTCCCTACGTCTCGAACGCTGTCACATTCCTCACCATCTAAGTATTTCCTACCGTACACTCATTTCGACGCTCAACGTCCCACGCCTTATTTCCGACGCTTTGCCGTCCATAATTATGTCCTTCATAATATCACGTCCCGCACCACCTACATAATTCTACCGTATATCTGTCCCAATACAGTACCGTATTAAATACCTTCCTTTCCACCACGACGCCAAGCGTCTCGACGCGCCTCGACGCTCAATGCTGCGATGTACCTGAATCGACGCCTTCCACGACTCTAGATGAAATTAGTACATAATCTAATGTCTGTATTTTCAATGGTGAGTCAAAAGATTTAGTATCTTTCTTTGAGATACCACCCCGGTTTCGTTTAAGGGCAGGCTTGACATTTGCTGTAAAATATTATCAATAAACCACATGGCCTTAAGGTCATATACCCCGAAAGATAGGATAACATCTGTTTTGGATGGGTGAAATTTGGAGTATTTTAATAGAAATAATAAAAATCAATATTAAGAAATATACAGGGTTATATTAAGTTATTTCAATAGAAATTATAATAATCAATATTAAAATACATACAGGGTTGTATTAAGTCATATCAATAGAAATTATAAAGATCAATATTTTGGAAATATACAGGGTTGTGCTATCTTGGATAAATTGTACAAACCAAGATGGTAAAATTTAATAGTAAGTTAACCAACTGGCGAATACGCTGTTCGTTAGCTCAAGGGGGGACACCTATACGCTAAGCAACCCGTTCTACAAGGTTTGAAACAAAGTATATGTGAAATCAACATAGTAAGGTATAATCAACTGGCGAATTGGCGCTGTTTGTTACTTCCGTTGGTCATCACCTCTATACTCATCGTAATATTTACCTAAGAGGGTGCAACCTGTATATATCTACAATAGAATCAAATCAACATCAACTCAATAGTTAATCAACTGGCGAATTGGCGCTGTTCGTTAACTTCATTGGTCATCAACCTAAATAAGAATAGTTAATCAACTGGCGAATTGGCACTGTTCGTTAACTCCGTTGGTCATCAACCTAAATCAGAATATAAACAACAACACTATAGTTAATCAACTGGCGAATTGACGCTGTTCGTTAACTCTGTTGGTCATCAACCTAAATAGGATATATATTGATAGCAAATGAATATGGTCTGCGTTTGAACGGGACTCAAGTGAGATCTCAGTAAATAGTAACAATTGTAAAATACTTTGCTAATTATTGCATCACATTTAAAGTATGAAAAATAAAAAAGAGTTTAAATATAAATTTGTATGTTTTATTTATCAATTTGCACCAAACTTTGCATCGAATTCTGGTTTACCTTAATTAACATTATCACAACGTGGGTACATAAAATATCAATTAATTAACTAGACGATCATTTCTACTACTAGAGGAAAAAGGCCAAATTACAGTAAGTATAGAATTTAAAGTAAAGTAAAACTTGTGAGGTAAATAATAACATTTCAAAGAGAGTAAAGTAAAATACAAGAAGAATAAAATCACAAAGAAGAGGGGGCCTGGGGGCGGGCCGTCACAAAGTCAATAATTAACCCTATTTAAAATTACATGGGATTTCCTATGTCGTTCCGCACGATAATGCAACACCCTGTAAAAGTGTTCATTTCATAAAAAAGGTTACAAGACAAAGCCTTACCTTTGATTTGAATGATCAGAGTCTTTTGAAAATTGCTTCTTGGTGGGTGATGCTTGATAACAAAATATATGATGCATCATTTTCACCTGTTTCCATTTTCCATAACTAAATCTAACTAATTCATGTTCTCTAACCTTAAAAAAAAAAAACAAAATCGATCATAGTGAAACAATCAATTACATTCATTAATCGGTTTTTTTTTTATTTAGTTTAAGGATCAGTAAAATTAAAAGAATAATTGTGAGGCGACACATTATAGTTTAGTCATAAACTTTATATTAAATTTGAATTATTATATATGAACACTGCTCTCTTTATAATCAAAAGAATTGCAATAAAAATTTGTGCAACAAGAGTGGATGGATATACAAAATCTAAGTGCGATACGGACAATCCAATTGAGTTGCACAGTATATTTTTTCTACGACCCACTATCGAAAATCTACAAATTTAAAAGAGTTCTTAAGATAAAAAAAACTAATTTGAATAGTTATTTAACTCACCTCTGCAGTTGTAAATGTATGCAATACGCTATAAAGAAAGTCGCTACATAGACATAATAACTGTCCACCAGTTAACAAAAACTGAAGTAAATGGAATGTTAAATTTGGCGGCACGTTCCCGCATACTACAACCAATACCGTCGAATCATTCCACATCATCTGTTTTGGATCGGTTGGTAAGTCGTAAATGGTATATCTGCAAAATTATGAAAAAGCGTAGAGGTATATTATATTTTAAAACGATTTTTTAACGAAAGTTGTACGTATCATTATAATATTTTAATACCAACAAACTGGGGTAACCCATGCAAAATATACTCATAGGAAGAATTCAAATCTAAGTCATGGAAAATATACCTTAAACAGCAGTATTTGTGACCGATTTATTGATAGTAACAAAAATGTCAAGAGAACCATTTAATTTGTTCCGTTTTTTTTTTTAAATGTTTCGCCCAAACCCATCCAGAATTAAATGCCACAGCAAATTTGGACCTTTTTTAACATTTTTTGTACAAATACCCTCTTGTCTTTTATAAATCTATTATATACAGGCTCTTTCATTACCAATGTGAATGATGCACACTTTGAACAACTATATAACTTTTAAAATGTCATATTTCATAGTTTTCTAGATAATTTAGTTCATTTTGTTAACAGTGTGTTCTTAATATGCGTTTTATTTCTAGAGTCAAAACATAATCTGAATTAAATCGTTTTATCTTGAAACCAGATAGGAATATCAAATTAAGACTAAAATAAATTTTGTTATGTGAAAAAGATATATCTTTCATATTTTGAAACCGATTTGACGTTAGATGTACAGTTGTACAGTGTATCAAGTTACGACCATATTTATCAAGGTAATGCTAGGAGTAGCGCCCTTTTTGAGCAGAGCGAAAAATGTTAAGATACTTTTTTTGTATACATTTTCAAATCAATTACCTTGTTAATTAAAAATAATAGGGAGATACGGGACATGCTCAAAATTTGATCCAATTTTTTTGAAAAAAACAGTTCAAAATAAATCTAAATTGCAAACTTTTCTTTAAATTATTTATGGATCAATACAAAGTAGCGGCACAGTCTTGTCAGTTAGACAGTATACTCACTAACATTACAGAAGAAAGTTGAACGAATATTTGCAGAAGGTGGCCAGAAATCAGGGGACAAGGATCTACATCGCACTCAGCCAAATGATTATTTATTAATTTAAAATCTATAACCCAAGACTGGAATGAGATAGGCACATATGAATTCGGGACAGATGCGCCCCCGTACATTTGCAGCCTCGATACATTTAAGACCCTCTCTTAATTTTTCGAATAATGATAAAATTTAAGTGAGACAGTTGCGATCCTTATAATCAATAGGCTTTATACCCTGTGAAGCTTGTTTTTTATGAATATTTCAATTTGATATTGTGTTTTATTCAGATATTTTCAAAATTAATAGGCTTTGTCCCGTTACAGAATTTGATTTTTCCTAAAATTTTCGTGTTGATATCATTTTTCGTTTTTGACTTATCGAGCAGATGGCCCAATCGGATTAGGTGAAGAACAGGCTTGAGATTCTGAAAAATTCGAAGCAGCAATTTTCCTTCGGAATTCGTTGGAGGGGGTCTGTGGTAGTCTAAATTCAAAAAGTTGGGATTCCAAAGTTGTCGTTACCTCCGCCAGCTTGATTTAAAGGGTTATTTTTTGTATCTTGAATAACTCATTTATTTTCAATTTTACACGGAAAATAGTTTTTACAAAAGTTATTTATAATTAAATTTCCTACAATTCTGCTTTTTTTTGTACGATCGATTTTTTTCGATTTATACCCGAAAAGAGGGGGTGAATTTTTGGTTATAGAATAACTCGTTTATTTTCAATTTTACGAGAAAAATTGTTATAAACAAAGTTGTTTAAAATTAAATTTCCTACAATTCTGTTTTTTTTTGTACGCTCGATTTTTTTGTATTTATCCCTGAGAAGAGTGGGGGTAAACTCTTAGAAAAAATCGGAATCATAATTGTACCAAATAACATTTTTGAAAATCAGCAAAAAAAAACAAACAGAAAAAATAATGGTACAACATCAATAATAAACGTGACAATACAATACTTAGGTTCACCCCCACTCTTCTCAGGGATAAATACAAAAAAATCGATCGTACAAAAAAAAAACAGAATTGTAGGAAATTTAATTTTAAACAACCTTGTTTATAACAATTTTTCTCGTAAAATTGAAAATAAACGAGTTATTCTATAACCAAAAATTCACCCCCTCTTTTCGGGTATAAATCGAAAAAAATCGATCGTACAAAAAAAGCAGAATTGTAGGAAATTTAATTTTAAACAACTTTGTTTATAACAATTTTTCTCGTAAAATTGAAAATAAACGAGTTATTCTATAACCAAAAATTCACCCCCTCTTTTCGGGTATAAATCGAAAAAAATCGATCGTACAAAAAAAGTAGAATTGTAGGAAATTTAATTTTAAACAACTTTGTTTATAACAATTTTTCTCGTAAAATTGAAAATAAACGAGTTATTCTATAACCAAAAATTCACCCCCTCTTTTCGGGTATAAATCGAAAAAAATCGATCGTACAAAAAAAAGCAGAATTGTAGGAAATTTAATTTTAAACAACTTTTTTTATAACAATTTTTCTCGTAAAATTGAAAATAAACGAGTTATTCTATAACCAAAAATTCACCCCCTCTTTTCGGGTATAAATCGAAAAAAATCGATCGTACAAAAAAAGAGCAGAATTGTAGGAAATTTAATTTTAAATAACTTTTTTTATAACAATTTTTCTCGTAAAATTGAAAATAAACGAGTTATTCTATAACCAAAAATTCACCCCCTCTTTTCGGGTATAAATCGAAAAAAATCGATCGTACAAAAAAAGAGCAGAATTGTAGGAAATTTAATTTTAAATAACTTTTGTAAAAACTATTTTCCGTGTAAAATTGAAAATAAATGAGTTATTCAAGATACAAAAAATAACCCTTTAAATCAAGATGGCGGAGGTAACGACAACTTTGGAATCCCAACTTTTTGAATTTAGACTACCAGAGACCCCCTCCAACGAATTCCGAAGGAAAATTGCTGCTTCGAATTTTTCAGAATCTAAAATACTAATCCGATTGGGCTAAGACAAAAAACGTGACATTGGACGGACGGACAAAGTAAACCTATAATACTATTCATAGACTAATGTGTAAAGAGTATAATAATAATAAATTGCTTTATATTTTTATTTACTCTTAATGTATTTTTTTTAACAATGATCTAGAATAACAAATTTGCAATTCAGCACTTTCAAATCAACGACGAACAAGTACTAAACTAATTTTGTTTACAAAAATCGAATTGCAATCATTCACAGTCGTTATCCACGTAGTTGTCAAATTATTATGAGCATGTGTGTGTGTTATGGTACAAGGATTGTTTATTGTTATAATTCGGTATTGACATAACATAAGGCTTTAATACGTACAAAAGGCTTTTAAAATTACATGAAAGAAGTTTGAAGGTGATTTCCAGGAAATATCGTAAGTACTGAATTATTCATAAAACAGATGCTCGCTCCTCAGATAAACAAACTCGCACAAATTATCCCCACTCAAATTAGCAGCCGTCTCGTTTTTTCTAATGCTACAGATCTGTCTGCGTAATATAAAACACAATATAAATAATTGAAATAAATAAGGGCTTAATTTTGAATGAATTGATTTTAATATCGAAATGATTTTAGATGTCAAATTGGAATTTTTATACCGAATGATACTTGTTGGACAAATAAAAATCCAAGCCAAATTCATAAATTCATTCTAGGTAATGAGTCGTGATGGACCTATTAACAATGGGTGATTTCGAATCATCCAAGTGTCTTACACTTACAGTTAACGTATGTACTTTTAACACTGAAACGCCCTGTATACAGGGTGTAACTAAATAAGTGTAAAACATTTAAGGGGGTGATTCCTCATCGTAAAAAAGATAGGATCTTTCATATAAAGAAACTTCATTGGAGCATCCCTTGTTAAGATACAGCCCCTTAAAGGGGGTACATAAAATTTGTTTAACAATTTTTTTCACAAGCACTAAACAAGTTACAATATTGAAATTAACCTGACATTTTCTACTACCAAAAAGACACTTAGCCAGTAATTTATTTTACAACCGCAATGTATAGACGCTACCGTTGAAATGAATGTGTTCTTGTTGATATGCGGTTCCCGCCAAACTGTAGCAAGACGCGGTTGAATCCTGTCTGCGTTACGATACCGCACATGTATAGACGATCTAACTGAAAACAATGTTCTATCTATCCCGCTAAACGGGTCCTGCTAAAACGCTCCCGTCAAAACGCAATGTATAGTTCCACACTTACGTAGATAGCGAAGATTTTAAAGACAAATATATCACCGATACCCTTTTAATGCAAAATTTCGACTCAAAATTGATTACCAGTGATGTATGCAAGTAAAATTTAAAATGGTTATAATTTTATAACTTTTGATTTTTTTACCAACTGATTATTTAAAATAACTTGAATACTTTCTAAAATTGTATATCTCACACCTGAGCACTGCCAATGTTAACTTTCAACACCTTGTATTTCCAAAACCATCAACATTTCGACAGTTAAAGGATGTCCCATTTATTAATGAAACCCCCTATATTTGTGTAGTTTGAAATTTACATAAATAATAACATAATACAATAGTACTTAAACAAGAAAAAAGTACTTACTTATCTTTGTTTAACATATTGATGAAAGCAGATTTGACATTTTCTTTGGCTATCAAACTTTCAGCATATATTAAAATATTAGGCGGCTTAATTCTTTTAGACCAATTATCATTACTCGATCCTTGTCCGTTTTTAAGAGAATTGCTTTTATCAACAGACTCCGAATCTTTGGTATTCCATGCTTCTGCATTCGTAATCGGTGCTGAATCCAATTCACTTTCATCGCACAATGCTGGAGTTTTGACTAATTTTTTTTCAGAACTAGTAGTTCGTTTGGATATTTTTTTTGTAGTTTTATCGCTCGGCTCGCCGGAATTTTCAATATCCTTTTTGTGTTTCGAGGATTCTTTTTTATCGTCCTTTTTATGGCGCCTATCTTTACTTTCATCTCGTCTTGACTTAGATGATTTTTCTTCAGTCTTATGCTTTAGAGATTTTTGGCCTTTTTCGTCTTTATCAGGTTTTGTTTTATCTTTAGAATCTTTCTTTGTTTTAATTTCCTTTTCTTTTTTCAATTCGTGAACATTTTCTACATCGCTTTTAGCTTCTTCTTTTAATTTATGTTTATCTTCAATTTTTTTATATTTTATTTCATCTTTTGTTTTTTCTGGTTTTGTAGCTTCAGTTTTGTGTTTTTCTGAACCCTTTTCTCTACGATGCTCTCCGGATTTATGCCTTCTATGATCACCGCTTGCCACTTCTAATGTATTTTTATCTTCTAATTTTTTACCATTCTTTTTGATGGGTTTCACTTCACTCACTGGGACTTTCTTGACGTCATCAACTTTGCCGTTTTCAATTGTTATTTTGGGACTGAAAAAAATTAATGAATTGAGTTCCAAAATATTGAATTTGGAGTTGTTGAAATCAAAAACATTTAAATAGCGAAAAATGATTGGCTAGGGGTCAAAAAGATGATAACATACAAAAATAATTACTTTTTGGTATCTCTTATCTTCGAATAGATATCTTTCAAAGAATCAGCAAATTGTTTCCATTGTGCAGGAGCGTATGAATATTTTAACAAACTTTCTCGAGAAAATTTTCTATCGAATTTAATTCTTGTGGGAAATCCTTCAACATCAACAGCTAGAAAAGAAAACAAAATACGTTTGATTTGTGCTAATAAAAGTTAAAAACAAAGTGTTTTTTATATATATTTTTAAATAATATCATACATACTTTCAATTCTCAAAAGTTTCAATTCGTGATTAATATCAATAGAATTTTTTGAAAACCAGTGGACAAGTCTTGTAAGTTTATCAATATCAGTCTTCAAAATGGCTTCAAATGTGTCGGAGACTTTCCAGGCAACTAGTTCTCCAAAATTCTCAACCTAAAAAATGAATTTACGTTATAATTCTCATAAACATAACTATAATATGAAAAAACATTTTCTTTCGCATTAGGAAAATTAATAAACAAATAATTAAAAAATTACCTGTAATATACTAGCGGAATGTTTAATATATTCGTCAAGCATCGCTTGAATTAAAACATATATATTTGGGGATTCTATTCTAATTGACTTCTTTCTAAAATATATGGGGAAGTATTTGGAATCCTTTGGAAAAATGATCCATTGGGATAGATTGATTCTTTGCTAAAAAAAATGTATTGCATAATAATTGAATTTGTATTTGGTTTATCATTTCAATAACAAACAAGTTACATATAATATGTACAAGGTGGCGCAAAATACAGTACTCTATTTGTTTTTTATATTAAAGTAAGATTAATTAAAAAACAGTCATATTATAAATAAAAAATATTTACTTAAACTCTAAAAATTTGTTTTGTTACACACTAAAAACAATATCGACCAAATGGCCACACCCAGCATTAATGCAATAATGAGCTCTTTTTAAAGCATTTTTCATAACTTTCTCCAACATTTCAGGTGGTATTCTGTCAATTTCTTCCAGGATGTTGTCTTTTAATGCTTCCAGTGTTCGAAGATTATTTACAAATACCCTATCTTTGAGATAACCATAACCAAAAGTCTGGAACAGTTAAATCGGGAGACCTTGTCGGATATGCAATATCGGCGTTTTTCGAGATAAGGCGTCCAGGAAAAATTCTGATAATCGACGAATTATTTTGATAAAAAAATTTACGATTTTGGCACATTCTTGAGGCGTATATCAATTCATAATGAATTTCCCAAGTATCTACTTTGCAACTGACAGAAAAACTCGAACAGATGTCAACTACAAACAAAACCATGACAACATTCCATAGGGTGCTTGATTTTGCGCCACCTTGTATAAACAATATATTTCAAATTATCGCTTGTAATTGTCGCATGTTGCTGATGTGCTTTTCCTCAACTGTAACTCAAATTTTATTTATTTCATTTCAAACTGAGGATTTTACGTTATACCACAGTTTATAGATAAAGCTCACTTGGACCAACTGGATGTTCCAAAACAACATTCACTCCAGGGATACAAATTTAGATGCACAGAAGACTGCTGTTTGAATATAGGCGGTGGACATATATTGTATTTGGTTATAGTAAGAGAGCACACTGCAAATTTCGACGGTCATGTGATAATGAAATAAAATATTCTCCAAAGGCATGTGCCAATCTCTATCCTAAGCAAAGTGGTCAAATTTTTTTATTTATTATTCAAAAAATCACATAAGACATGACAGCGACAATTGTGTTTTCCCTGAAAATTAAACCTGAATTATTAATATTTAATATAAAATAATTTTTTTTAAACACTTTGCGCAGGATTGGGATTGGCACAGGTGCCATTTGGTAAAGTACAATGTTTTTACATGCATTTTGGGGTATATTTCATTTCGTTATCAGATGACGGTAAAAATTTGCAGTGAGCTCTTGGGCCATTACGATTTGATTCTGTATGCGCCAGTGATACAAATCCAAGTTGCGCCATCTATAAAGTGGAACAATGAGATCAAAAGTGTCGACACAGAGTGAGCGAACTGATTCTTTAGCTATAAACTGTGGTTATACTAAGTAGAATAATAATTATTAAATCTATATCTAAGTTAGGAATCAAACAAGATATATGAATCGTTTACAACTGCAAAAACAATTTATTGTTTATTATTTATAGGGATTATATTTCAAGTAAATATTTTACAACGATATTTTTGAATCAGTAAAATATGAGATCTTGAAGTTAATAGTTTTGTTTTAGGGTCTATTTATACTCCCTTATTATTAGTATTTGCATTAGTATTATGATTAAGGATTAAGTTGAACCTTCACAATGTAATGGGGACATTTATACTCGATTTATGATTATTATTAGCATTAATAATTATGCTTAATAATTGACAGGTTCAACTTTTTATGTTGTCTTAAATTTCTTCTTTTCTATCAAATGAATCAATGAAGTATTTGGCCTTTGTTTTTAATACACATATGATTATGTTGTCAGATGTTGTTTATAGTTTTGTTCCAACAAGCTCAAAAACGATAATATTTTGGTACAAATCATGCGCTGTATACAATTTTTGTGTATCAGCAATGTTTACCAAGAGATGCTAAATGCCACTGGTAGCACCACCTAATGCGCATGCTCGCTAAATGTGTCATCAAGATTGGCGCGGTTTTTACCTTGTCATTCTCTCTTTTGGGTCTATGAACACTAGAGAGAAGGAGGCGAATCGGCAATGGTCAAATTTCAAATGTCCGTCCTTCTTTTTATAAAGTTCGCGAAATTGACTGTAGTTGGCAAGTCGAATGACAGCGGTGTCTATTTTCTCTGTAAGTTAATGTAAAATGAAGTTATTTTTTAAAAAAATTGATGAGAAGAATCAAAATAATGTAAAAAAAAGTACCTGAGTACAAGTAACATGAATGACAAAAAACATCAAAGCAAGATTTACGTCGTTCCACATTGTAAAACAAGATAAAAATCAAATGTAAAATTAAAGAAAACACAAGAAGAAATCAATTCAATGTCTTTTTAAAGCTTTTAATGTAAGTAAAATAATGTATTCATGACTAAATATAATATTTATTGTAAACTAGTCACAATATGTATCTTACGAAGTGTAGTTTATTTTATTACAAGTTTCTATAAAATAAAATTTTACAGTCATATATGCTTATAAACAACAATAATTATGCATTACATTTAACTTACTAGAAAAGAAAATTTATTTTTTATAGAGTTTTAATATTAGATAAAGAGTTGCTACTGATTTTTTGGACCAAAGTTGTGTCATTGTAAATGTTTTTTATAGAATACTAAACGTTTAGAACAGTGGCAGCATATATATCGTTCCTAGAGCCGATAAAGCACTTTCTAGAGATGATGCAGTTCTATACTTTTTAGAAGATATTATCAAATATTATGAGACTATTTTTACTGATGGTACTGTTAGCAAAATAAAAGGGGGAAAGCTGAAATTAAAGGATGAGGTAATACCATGAACATTCCCAAATCTCCCTTTATACTTGTATTACAAAATTAAAAAATCTGTTAACTGTATTTTATTTTACTCTTTAAACTATATATTGGTTCAATTCAAAAAAAAAAATTGTACTTATCAAATTTCAGCATTTAAGAAACCTTTACGAATTTGGTCAGACATACTTAATTTGTATTTTATATAGATAAAATTGAATAATTTATCAATTATAACATGCAAGAATTATTTAGAAATAAATACTACAGTTCTGTGCTTTATTTAAATAAAAACAAGTTTATTTTTATAATTTTGACAAAATTATGTATAATTCTCATAAGAAGCCATGTATATTGAACACCCTATGCAGTGCCAGCGCCGATTCGCCTTCTTATCTCTAGTCTTCATATTTGGGTCCTTTCCTTTGTCATTGTTTATAAAAATGGAATGTTGTAATATTCCGTTTGCGAGAATTTTTTTTCTAAGAAGTCCAATTTAAATAGACAGTTGAGAAGTACACGGTTTAGAAACAGAAGCAAGACTGCAATACCTAACTCATCCTACCAAAACAGTGAAAGCAAGTTCACAATTACAGAATATTTTGTATTTGTAAATCGACTACGGTAGCGCAGGTGTCTACGGCGTCGCATTCATTTGCGAGCCAATTTTCTGGTAAAACGAGACACGGTTTCAGATCCTACGGAAGACCATGTGAATTTATTTGCATGGTTCTCTATAGAATTTAATGACATCCAGATTATTAAAATAAAATCACCATGCGCTACCGTTTTCGATGATGGTGGGTGGAGTTTTCCTCACCTGTAAATCAAATGGCACCATCAATCATCTTTAAGTCGCCCCGGAGCGCCACGGCAAATAATAATAATAGCCGTCCCTTTCCCCGCACAAGCTCAGCTTTTGGGGTTAAAATTCACTCGTAAGGGGGTGAATTAGGGAGAGTATAATTATTATTATATAAAAGTATATTCTGACCTTTAAAATGAACTAAAATATATATTTCAGAAGCTTTTTTTTTGGTATATACTATATTCGGAAAATTAGTTATTAAAATAACTTTTTTCGTGTTTTTAAATTTGTAATAATAAATTTTGTATTTAATATTGAATAATTAGAGTTTTTAAACGATTAAAATTAACAAGACCATTCCCTTATTCTCTATAGTGTCGCTTTTAAATATTGACTAGCAGAGGGTTATATTGAGGTCAAAGCGTTTTACACCTTTCCTTTTAATAAAGCGCAGTTTTAATGCAGTAATACTTAATGTGCATGATAGGGCAGAAGTTCAAAAAATACATTTTTTTTTAACTGAAGATAGCCTTTCAATTGCCATTATCAAATTTTTATGGTCAGCAAAGATAGGACATTTTTAATCACATGACCTGTCCAAATAAATGCATATAAATATACTGTGGTTCAAATGTAAGTGAAAGATAAAGAAAAAAACGTTGGTTATAAAATCGTTACAGTGCAACAATTTTTTATCGTGGAATAAAGTACACGCACGAAAAATTTGATGTTTTTATTATTTTAATTTATATACAGGGTGTAACAAAAAGATATACAGTAAATATAACTATAGTTTCTGGGGTCAATAATAAGTCGATTTAACAAACTTGCTTACATAAATGGATAGTAAAAAAAGTTACAGGGTGTTAAAGTTCAAATTTTAGAAGTAATTTTGTGGTTTTAAGGTGCTAACGCATTAGGGGGCGTCCATTAATTACGTGAGGTATTTTTGAGGATTTTTGGACCCCCCTCTCCTCCTGGTGAGATTTCGTAATATTTTCCTCAACTCCCTCCCCCCTCCCCTAATCTCCCATGAGATGTTTCAAAATCTGTGTTTTGGATGTAAATGCGATTGATTATTAAAAAAAAAAAACAAAAACACAATATGTTCTATTACTTTTAAGACTAGCAAAGACTAGTATTTGAGAATATTGCCGTAATTTAAAATCACAGTGATAAAAATAAATAATACTTAAACGAAAATTAATAGTCGATTTTACACCGTTTTCTACTAGAAAAAAATTATGTCAGATTTACAAAAAAAAACCCTCTCTCCCAAATGAGATTTTGAAAGATTTCGTTTGATCCCCTCCCCCTCTTAAACACTTCACGTAATTAATGGACGCCTTCTTAGGCAATCACGGTTCCGTCGCATCGCGGTCTGTGCTAGTCTCGAGCAAGTTCTTCCCCATGTATTATAACGCATTGGTGTATCCTGTTCTCCTCCTATCTTTTCCAAAGAATCTCGGGAGACCGCTAGTGATGAAGACTAGCACAGCCCGCGATGAAACGAGATCGCGGTTGCCTAATGCGTTTTCAACTTTACTCTAAAACCACTTACCATATTTTTATGAAAGGTGTACATGGGTTATTAGTGCACAGTGCAAATAAAATGGAGTTAATCTACATTTTTCTTTCTCTTAGTATTTGTTTGAAAAATTCTTAATTAGTGAGTTATAATCTCTTAAAGGAAGGTCATAGTGAAAATTAAAATTGTCCTATTGATCTTAAATTACTGAATATTTGTTAAAGATATTTTTTACTATTTTACAACTTCATGGATACTCCACAATTGAAGGTTAAATACATAAAGATAGTGCCGAAAAACGTAGGTCGATAGCCCTTTGGGAATACCCAATTATGTTGTTCTAATAAAGAGATGGTATTATTCTGGGTTCAACGGTCTGTATTTTAACCTAATCAATGCAGATGCAATCGCCTACCTCATCTGGTTACAAATATTGTAATCTAAAGTAAACTTGGTTAATTTACTTTCTTTTTATAATCACGTACAAGTAAATTTCCGAATTTTCGGAAACCACTATTGATATTAGTCTAATCGATGACCGTTTTGACATAAGTAAAATCAACATTCTTTCCATTAGATATGATTGTAGAATGTCGACATATTGTCTAGGGAGCATATCAGGCCACAGCGTGCCAAATCTTGTCAAATGCTCAATAAATTATTCCGTAGTCATCAGGTATTTTACGACCTTATAACACCGAAAGTAGCCCGCTAGATGGATACAGAAAAAAAGAGAACAACCGGAGAGAGATCGAAACAGTGTTGCCAGAGCACTCTCAAGGAATCTAAAATGAACCATACCAAAAAAAATTTCAATATTGTATTGATTTGAATGCAAAATGTTTTTAATATACATTTGTACTTATTTATTAATAAAAACAACGTCAATATCTAAATTATGGTCACTAGGCAGAACAAAAGTATTTTTTAATAATATAAGAAAAAGAAGGAAAAAGATACTCTGATTAAAACAATAAAAAATAATGCATTAAAGAAAGTTTGTAAGCCCTTTGCACAATTTAAGCCTCAATAAGGAAACATGTTTGGGATGATGAACCTAATCAAGGAAACATGTTTGAGGTGGTATTGGTTGTACGAAATAATAATGCATTAGAAACACACAAAATCAGGACATGGTTAGGTTAGTTTCAATATAAATCATTCGTCATTCGAGTTTCGTGAAAATGTAATAGATTTATAAGATATGTAATAATGTAATAAACCCTTCATAAATGTAATAGATTTGTTACAATTCTAACAAACTGGCAACACTGGATCGAAATCCTTCTGTCTCCTTTTGCCAATGCGCACCTATTTTTCACGGGCCACTTCTGGTATCTATAGTAATTTCTTAATTTATTAAACAATTTATAAAAAAAACGCAACTATAATCGATTTTATCAAATTTATAGTTATTTTTGCCATTTTACTTACTTTGGGCACAACTGTACATCCTAGTCTCTCTTCTACTCTAAATAGTAAATTTTCAAAACTTCTATTCTTCTTTGATTCATAAACGACAGTTTCGTCGCAAAGTAGAAGGGCATTTTTTGAATTCAACGTTCCATTTAGCTTGTTTCTCAAAGCGGACAATCTCCACCATTGCATTACAGTAGCGTACATATAGAAAATGGTAAATATCATCTTGGAAAAACGTTGGGAAATTCATAAGCATATATTATCCATTGTTAAGCCTGAAAAAAAAACAAATATGAAAATATTTCTAGTGGATTTTAAAAGTTCTTGTTGGGTCATGTAAATATTGTATAGCACAAGTAGAAGTTGAAAAGGCTTTTGGTAAGTAAAGATAATATTCAAATCATAATTTTACAAAATTTCAACAGCTATTCACAATTTATTAAACTATTTACTCGAAATTGTTATTAACATCTATAAAATAATTTTGTACGCCAATGTGTCGTGTCCACTTCGGTTAAATCCGACGCAAAACTGTCAATTTATGTGTATAAAGTGAGAAAACTGGCAAAAGCCATTCCAAATTCTACCCCTGCTATAAATAACTTTATGTAGAGACTGACAAGAGATCGCACACTCAGTAATAAAGTGGCATAACTCAAAACTTGCTTGTTTAAACTTTTAATCGTAAAACGGCACAAAATGGCGCCCTTCATATGTGGAACTTTTTAAATGAAAGTGCTACTCTAAATCTAGATGTACTGTATTGGAGTAACACCGTCATTTAAAAAGTTCTACACATGGACCGTCTTTGAGTTATGCCACTTTATTACTAAGTGTGCGATATATTTAGGTATAAAATAAAATCTTAATGCTTCTGCATTTGTTGATGAAGTAAATAATTATTAGTTAGCATTATAATCTATTTTGGAGTAGATAAATAGGAACAAAAATATTTTTCTACTACCGTTCTTGCACGCAAAAGAGTTCGTAAAACTTTACTTCGTGCACTAGTGCGTAAAGAGTTTTTATTTACGCACTCAGTGCGTAAAGAAAATTGTCAAATTTGTGTATATTGACCACAGAGCAACAAGTTTTAGTATTGACAGTTCTAATAAAAATAATAATGAGTATATTAAATATTTAATTTAATTTTTTCATACATTTTTATAGTTATTTCAGGGGACCTCAGGGGACCACCCCTGAGGTACAAAAAAAATATTCAGACAGATTGAGAAAGAACTTTCTCCACTTTTTTGAAGTCGGTTAAATGTTTTTTACATCATCCGTGTGTAAAACACCAGAGATTTGGCTAACAAATTCCCACCAGGACACACCAGCAAAGATAGTAACGGTTTTAATACCAAAGAAGAACAAGATGACGTTATTATTAACCAAATACAGTTGAGTGTGGAATTGAACCCAGCTTTAAAGTGTTTTGAGCCATCAACACTGTGATACGTTTATTTTCCTCACACACGTATCAATAAAATATCCCATCTATCACAATTTAGAACAAGTGTTTAGACTTTGCTTCGAAAATTATCTGCTATATACAATGAATTTTAAATATTTCTTGGTAAACAATTAAAATTCCATGACCAAATAAATAAGTTTGATTTTTTATTTACGATTTTAGAACCATCAGATAAACTATAATGTATATAAAATATATTTACTTACAATTTTTAAAAGATAAACATCACGAACTCGACTATGTGACTACAAATGAGTTAATTATAGATGTTTTTAATTTTGAATTCAAGAAATTCAAAGTAAATAGGAAAAAGGTAACAACAATTTAGATAATCACACGAATGATTACAAAATAGCATTTTCTAACGTCAGTGGCGGCTTGTCTATAAGGGCTGTAGGGATATAGCACCCCAGTACAAGAGGAAATCAATTTATATAAATATAAAATGAAAATGAATTATATATGTAAGAAAACAAGATATTTTCATTAAATTAATCTATTTCCGAAATTAAACACAAAACAAGTAAAATCATCTTCAGGCCTGATTGCCCTAGGAACTTGAAACATATTCCTAACATAACAAATATGAGTCTTTGGCTAATAAATAACACATTTTAATGCCTTTGCCGTCACTTCGTTCAGAGGCAGGTACTTCGTCTGGTCCATATGTTTCGACTAAATACCATCGAACCAATACTATCGTTTTAGGAAACCATCGTTTTGTACGTGGCCTCTGGTGGTCCAGGACGCTCTCGCTCATTCAAGGTGGCATCAGTGCTTGTATTGGATAGTTATTCATATTTATTATTATTCATACCTTACCTTATTCATACCTTACATCCTGCCGTAGCCTATGGATATTATAGGAAAAAGAAGTGCAATGTTACACATCAGTAAAATAAAAAGAGAAAATAGTCTAGAAATGTCATTCTGTGTCAGATGGACAATTCGAGAAGGTTCAAAGAAGCTATATAAGTTGATGATCCTGATGTCAGGTTTTAGTTTTGTGACGAAATTATTAAATTTTATTTTTAATTAATTTTTAAAATGTATATTTTAATTAATTCCCGGGAACGTTTCGAAGAGCCCTCGTATTTGTGTTTCCCAGAAATTTCCGTTTTTAAACAATTGCGAGTACCCTCGTAGGTTAAAACATTTCCGTATTTGCCGAAATCCGAATGAGCATTTATAGATTCAATTTCATGTCAATTATCAGCACGTATTTCTCAAGGTGCTAAGAGTTTTTTTTTGCATTTTGAACTAGTAAACAGTCGGAGGTGGTGGTGGTATTCCCCACTCCGAAATTTCCGGGCTTCGAGCTTGCCTGCTGAGAAGGCAAACATAAGACGAGCAAGGCAAGTCAAATTTTCGACCACCGTAGGCTCTCTGTCTCTTGATTCCAGACCTCCAGAAGCTCTGGCCTTTATACTTGGCTTGTGGTAGTTACCAATCGAGTGTGATTTAGATAGTTTTCCCGACCCACCGAGTGCTGAGTTCCCGAGTAATTCCCGTTATTCAAGGGTACCGTAGGATACGAGGTATAAGGGAGATAAGTGTTTTAATTCTAATTTAGAGGCTACCTCGTTAGCAGTGACCGCCTGGAAACATTTCGACTCCACTGGGTTTGTCTTGAGTGCACTCTGGTGTACTACAGGGTCGCAGAGAAAACTGTATTAACAAAACTGGCGCCCGAGCAACCCCTAATCTGTTTTCACCATCTTAGCGCCACACAGACTTCGTAATTCACTGTAGTAAACCAGAAGCCTGTCACAGTTTGATGATAGACGTTGTACGATAATGTTAATAATTGATAATTGACTTGTAAAAGTTGAGTTGTTAATAAATTGAGTTACCAAAAACCAGCGTAACAATATTATAAAACTACAGCGTGCCGTAGCTTTCGGGAAATATACAATAATGAAATGTCATCTATAGAAAGCAAAATGACGCAAAATGACAACTCGAGAGTAGATGCAGTCTGGGACACATATATTATGATGGCAGTCTTAAATCACATACCCGGGACAAACTAAGTGACACTTCTGGGCAAAAACGCCTGTACCAAAGGGTTCAGCATGGGTGAAATTCTTATTAAACTTCAACAATAAACAAGACTTATTTAACTTCCTCAGCGAGAAATTGGTTCAACTTACCACTGGTACTTCGCATCAACTGTACACCATAAAGGATAATCAGGTGCTAAGCAACAGAACGAGTGACATATCAACCATATCTCCAAGGCAGTAAAAAGAAGCAGACACCAGAATGATGTTGAACTTGCAACACGCAGCTAAGCAAGGATATGAAAAAGCGTACCGCATCATAGTGGACATAGAAGTGGTTCACTTCAAACGGTTGAATATGTATAAGTTTTGAATTGGGAAAATCCTTTAAAGAGATTCCTATCCATCACATCTGTTAACAACTTAGACCTGAACGCTTCGAGGCCCTTCCCTTTTTTCATTCATGTACGGGGTGCGATGTAACATAATTGATGTTTGGAATAGGTACAAAAACGGAATGACTGCATGGACTGCTTATCCTGAAGACACTGCTACGTTCATTGACATCACAAATACACCAAATAGTTTCACGGTGGAATTACAGCACACATCTCATTTTGAATGCTTTACAGTTCTAATGTACAGGAAAAACTGTGGTGCAGATTCAGTAAATGATGCAAGGGAGTTGATATTTAACCAAGACCTTAAGTCTCTTGAATCTATATCATCATCAAAACATGTTTTCTCACTACCGCATTCATTTGGAAGAAGTCGCTGTCCAAATTGCCTAATATGTGGTTGGGAATGGAATGATAGAACCAAAGAATGGGTATCCTACTGGACTGATCTTCTAGATGCAAGCCATGCATTTTCATTATTACTTAATTGTGGTTATTTGGTCTCATAAACTCGGGGTTTTCCATTTATACAACGTCCACAACGCAGATTGCTAGGAACTATCGTTGGATGTTTTGGACATCCGGATATTCAGCAAAACTACCACGCCTCGCCTATACATTCAGTTTTCAATATTTACGGAAGGATTTTGGAATGCAGTCACTCCATTTGGACATTTTGCGTGCTCGTGAATGGAGACCTTTAACATCATTCCAAATAGAATGACTCCGTTTGGACGGCATCCAAATGGATTTTATGTTTAGAAACTGTTCATTCACGGTTACTCCAAATGGATGCATGAATAATGTAGTTTTTTTGTAATGTGTGGTGCACAGCCAACTCGGGGTTTACTATTTATACAGCGTCTACGCCGAAAACTGCTACTAAAGTTCGTTGGATGTTTAGGACGTCTGGATATCCAGCAAAACTACCACGACGCGCCTATACACTCAATTTAGACATTTAGCGTGCTCGTGAATGGGAGCCTTAACACGACATAGACTACAACATGAATTTTACATCACCAAGACGACAATGTACAATTCTGTTTTTTTTGTTAGGTTTCCAGGGAAAGAAATCCCAGAACTAAGACCAGACGGACCTATAATACGAATACCCATTATTGATGTACAAAACAGAACATACCGTAAATAGTAGACAAATGATAGGTGCCAACTGGGTCTATATAGTGGCCAAACTACGTTCCTATTTTCCTTACAAACCCAGTAAATGAGGAAAGAAATAAAAGACACCTCAACTTATGTTTACCAATTCACCCAAATAATTTACAACAATCTTCAATTTATTTACCTAATGGCTTTGATGATTGCATAAATAGACAAACAGCTAAA